TATTACGGATTACTAATTCGTTATTACGGATTACTAATTCGTTATAACGGATTATTAATTCGTTATTACGGATTATTTAATTCGTCGGTCCAGGGTTGTTGGTAGTCCTGCCTCCGAGGCTTGATCCTTCTGCCCCAGAGGCCTCTGAGCTGTGCATCTCCACCAATCCATCTTGGCATCGCCCAGGTGTGGCTTTAGTCGGTTGTAGTGCACTTCTTTCGCTTTGGCACGTGGAGACCTCCGTATTTGGAACGTGAAGTCATTGATCCTCCTCAACACCGCGAAGGAACCCTCCTCTTACCAGCACTGCAGCTTGGGTGTGTGTCCCACCTTCTTCAAGGGGGTGTACAACCACACCGGCAGCCCCGGCTCATACCCGGCTCCTTGGGCCCGCCGATCGTACTGTCGCTTTTGGTACGCTTGACTCTTCTGCTGGTGGCGCCGGGCAAATTCCTGGGCACGTTCCATCTTCACCCTAATTCATCTACATATCCGTGTACTGCCACACCCGCTGTCTGTTCCTTCGGCAGGCCCACCACCACATCCAGCAGAAGTCCCACCTCCTGGCCAAGCATGAGCATGTTCAGGGTGAATTTAGTGCTTTCGTGCTGAGAGGAACAGTAGGCAATCATCACGTACGGGAGATGTTCGTCCCAGTCGTCCTGATTTTCGTCAACGAACATGCTCAGCATGGTGTTCACCTTGCGGTTGAAGCGCTGCCATCTGACTGAGAGTGAAACCGCGTGGTGCTAATAATCTTGTGAATGTCGAGCAACTTACATACCCCTTGGAACAGGCCAGCCTCGAATTCCCTCCCTTGATCCGTGTGGATCTCTAGGGGGGTTCCGAACCGTCTCTGCTGTCTGGCCAGGAATCGGGAATGCCTCTACCCACTTGGTGAAGTAGTCGGCTACCACCATGATGATCGTATTCCCGGCCTTCGTCCTCGGAAGCCTACCCATGAGGTCGATTGCAATTGAGGCGCTACATTGGAGCCCCCACCACGTACTGTTGGAGTGGGGCTCTCAGAGAACGCGGCAGTGGCTTCTAAAATCCGCATTTGTGGCACTTTCGGCACCAGTCCACCGTCTGACGTCGCAATTCTCTTTAGTACACGGGAGCCATTGTCATGGGCCAGTCTCAGTACTTCTTCCACTTTCGCCCGTGGGACCACGACCTTCCACACTGGTGGTCCGCCGTTTGGCTGTTCCCATCTCACCTGCAAGACCCCTTATAGACAATCGCAATGTCTCCCACTTGGCCCACCAAAAGTTCGTGCCCTCATCCAAGGCCGAGAGGTCCACCCAGCTAGGCCTGGAAACTCCCTCTTCTAGTGACCGCATGATCCTGACCAGCTCAGTTTCACTGTGGTGTTCTTGTTTCAGTTGTTCGTGGTCCCAGGCTCCCAAGAGCCCGTCCAGGTCTGTGCCTCCCCCGTGCTGTGCAATTGACCCCTCGACGAGTCATCGGGTTCCCGTCGAGCAGAAGGGCCTTTCCCAGCAAAGCACTCCTGGCCGACTTCCCTCGAATGTACCCACTGGCCACAGGGAATTCTGGAGATGGCATCGGCGTTTTTGTGCTTCAGACCCGCTCGGTGCTCCACGTCGAATTCATAACATCCTAGCCTTAAGCCACCTGGCCATTTGCCCTTCTGGCTCCCGGAAGTTGAATAGCCATCGCAGCGACCCATGATCTGTTCTGAGTATAGGAAACGTTTGCCCAGGAGGTAGTGCTTAAAGTAGTTGACAAATGGACCACGGCCAGCAACTCTTTCTGAGTGGTGCAATAGTTGCGTTCGGCCTTGGACAGGGTGCAGCTGCCGTAGGCGACAACCCGTTCCCCATCGCCACCCTCTTGTCACAGCACATGCTCCGATTGTGCAATTGCTGGTGTCAGTGTCCAGAATATAACGACATTCCGTGTTCGGATAACGTAACACAGGTGCCGTGGCCAGCGCGTCTTTGAGATGCTCGAAGGCCGACTGACAGGAATCTGACCAAGAGAAATTAAGCCTTCTTGTTGTTGTTGGTAAGGGCATGAAGGGGACGCATCGGGCGATCTCAGCAAAGTTAGCAATGAAGCACCGATTGTAGGACGCCAGTCCTAGAAAACTCCGGACCTGAGTCAGGTTCATCGGTCGCAGCCAGTTTCTGATAACGACGACCTTCCCTGGATCCGTCCTCACTCCCCTCAACCGACACCAGATGACCCAAGAAGGACAATTCTGTCTTAAAAAGGTTGCACTTCTTCGGTTTGAGCTTCAAGCCGGTAGCTCAAAATCGCTCCAGGACCATAGCCAGCCTCCGGTAGTGTTCCTCAAAGTCCTTCCCACAAATGATTACATCGTCCAGGTAGACCACCGCTATCTGCCACTGCAGCCCCCTCAATACTTGCTCTATCAGACGCTCAAGCATCAAACATCAGACGCTCAGCATCACAGTGAATTGGTATAGGCCGTTCTGCATTCCAAAGGATGTCCACTCCTGGTCCTTCTTGTCCATGAGGACCTGCCAGTAGCCGCTGGCCAGGTCCAGCGTGCTAAACCACCTTGCCCCGCTCAATGCGTCCAGGTTGTCTTCAATGGGGGATGGGATACATCACCTCGTTGACTTCCTGGTAGTCGACACAAAAACGGACAGACTGTCTTTTTTTTCTGACAAGAACAACTGGCGAGGACCAAGGGCTATAGGAGGGTTCGACCACACCCTCCTGCAGCATCTGTTCCACTCCGCCTCCAGTCGTTTATGTATTGGCAATCACCTTGGCGGCTGGCGTATGGTGCCGCTATCCCTGTCTCGATATTATGCTGGATCAGATCTGTCCGGCCGAGCTTGCCGTCCGGGCCCGTGAATGCTCCGGCGAACTCTGTCAGCAGTATCCCCTCCGTTTCTATCACGTCCAGGTCATCCATCGGTGAGAACAGGGCAAGGCGGCTTCCTTTGTAGACCGTAACGGGGTCGGCTGTCGGGTTTAACACCCTTACTGGCATGGTTCCGTTGTTTGTGTTGTCGTATATTCCTCGCAGCGGATTTAGTTTAACGTTCTTAAACGCAGGGTTCGAGATCGAGATACAACAACTGACGGACAATGACACAGTTCCGCGATTGTCTCTCTGATAAACTTTTATTGATGGCAAACCTCCTTGGCTGACAATTTACCGAAGATAAAACATGATGGACCTAGAGTTTAACGGTCCTCGATGGACCCCTGTACATTAAGAAATAATACAAAACATGGGTTTAAAATACTACTACTACAGTCATTATACAATAGACCACAACACACAGTTCAAAGGTCATAGTGCTGGTAACCAAAACACTATAAAACAGTACATCAGCTGGTGCTCAATATATGGAATGTGACAGGTTACATAACACTGTTTTGGTTAGACAGAGATTTTTCCTTGTCCTCAATTAAAGGCATTTAAAGCACCAGAAACAAAACATTGATTGAACGTAGCTCAAAACAACACAAAACAACTTGAAAAACAGATCTTATTAATACACTGTCTTGACTTGTCAATTGGAATTGAGTAAACATTGTTTCCAAAAATACAACAACGAAATCAAAGATAATATTCAAAATCCGGCACTTAATTGTGAATCAAAAACACAAGAAATCAAGAGCTAACCTGGATATATCTAACAGCAGACCTTACTGCTACATCAGCTACGTCACCATATTTGTAGCTGGAAGCTATACGAAAGAATAAAATGATTCTTAAATTAACGGTTCTATAAAATATCAATTAGATACTGATATAATAGCAAGTTCAAGTTCAATTCACATTATCAATAATGTTTTGATTCAATTTAAGTTGACTACCAAACTTGTCATTGCTAATCTCTTTTGTTTGAAATGCATTAAAAGTAAAGCAATTAAACAGTCATTAGTAAATTCAAGATGTAGATAACTTCGTTCACAGAAACGCAGACAACCGATCGAATAACGAACAACCAAATATAAGAATGATTAACTCTCATCAACATTACAACTACAGAACAAAAGTAGCTCTAGAAACTAAGTCTCAAAATTACAACTCAAAATAACAAGATAATAAAACTCACCCGATATGGCTACTACAACGGTTTTGCTTCAGTGGCCTGCTAGATGTGGGTGCAGACTGGTCTTTTGACCCTGGTGCGGGATCTTAAATACCCACTTTGTTTGGGTGATGGACACTTCCATCCATTTGCCGATTGGCTAAATATTAATTTGACCACTCCTTCCCCGTAATATAATTTGAATATAAACGTTGCGATTGGCTAGTTTCTCAGTAATCAGGGAGCCCTGGGTGAATCTGCTGACCAGCAAGATCTCTCCCAGGTCCCAAACAACCTTCAAAACCTAATAGATTTGCTCTAGTAATCTAATATAGCTCTGTGGTGAGAACGTGTCTCAGACGCTGACTTCATAATTATTATTACTACTATTACTGTAATAGGGCGACAGATTTTGCGAACTCCGTCCACAATAGGGGGATACACCTTATTGAGGCGACAAAATAACTGTCGCCCTTTTATGAAAACGACCCTTAGGATAAGGAATTTTGCTGTCGCTAACCATCTAGATCGATTCCTCATGGTCCAATCAGTATAAATACTAAATTTCGTGGAAAAAAACATAAGGTAAACTTGGGTTAGGTGACAGTTTAGGTTTGTGCACAAGTCTGGGAAAGTCACCCTATTGGGGCGAAAAGAGTAAATGTTATTATTATTATTATTAATAAATATTATTATTATAATATTATTATAAATTACGAATGATGGACTATACCTTTAATGTACATGTATGACTGAGTGAAAGCGATGGTGTGACGTCATTGTTAAATAACAATATTTTCTTATGAATAAACGTACATAAGTGAATAATCATGATCATTGACGATGTGTGCTGCAGATAATACACCGCAGCTAGCCCGAGCGAAACCAAGAATTGGGCCCAAGTCTAGTTTTGTTACCTACCAGGAGCGAGGTGGCGCCCTTCCCCGCCCCGAAGGGCCCGGGGAAGGGCGCCACCAAGCCATGGCAGTACCTTGCGCACGACATGAATTAAAAGGAATTGTTCATCTTTTTGACCCCGAAATTAATCTGGTATCGCAAGAATAACACAAAATACGACCAACGTCGTGGTTGTGTGTGGACGTCTCTATTCTACCTTCAAATGCTCTTGTGAAAAAAAGGCGTGCGTGTTCCCAGGAATTAGGCCTAGGCTATAGCCTATGGTTCATTCAACAGTTCAAGGCCAAGGCCCAAGCGCGTTAGCGGTAACCATAGTAACTGACGTTAGAATAGGCCTAGCACTACAGCGGTAAGTATAGTCGTGTTCCCTAGCGTGGCGCACTTCGAAGCTTACCCAACTTTCCTCGTGCAGTGTTGCCAAACCTCTTTGTTGATAAACCTCAAATTCATGCAGTAAAATACTGGTACTTTTACCTTTTTAATTCTTGCTATTTAACATCTGTGAACAATTTCGGTTTCATAAAATTTAATCCGAAATGCAAAAACGGTCGCGTCCGGAAATTGGGCACAAATTGGCGGAGTGTTCCCTAACGTGGCGCACTTGAATAAATCTCAGAAAATTCCAAATTAACATTTAAGAATTTCTGTAAACTTGATAAATTCTGATAAATCATTATGATCTTTACTTACAAACCCAGCCAGATGTTTGTCAGAAAATTATTTTCTTATTTTTCGGGACACTTTCAAAGGGTTCACTTTGCACTTGAAAATAAAATCGGAAAATCACGCCAAAATAGATTTTTCTTTTAAGTTTGTAACGGGTAAATAAACTCGCGATTTATGAACGGGTGTGTTTAGAACTTGATGAAATTTCACTTTCTGTGAAATTTCAGTTCAAACTTTTGCTCTAGCTAGGCGCTACAGGCGAAAAATCAAAGTGCGCCACGTTAGGGGCCGCGCCACGTTAGGGTACATCAACAATATAGTCATGGAGGTATAGTCGTGTTCCCTAACGTGGCGCACTTCGAAGCTTACCCAACTTTCCTCGTGTAGTGTTGCCAAACCTCTTTGTTGACAAACCTCAAATTCATGCAGTGAAAAACTGGTACTTTTACCTTTTTAATGCTTAGTATTTAACCTCTGTGAACAATTTCGGTTTCATAAAATTTATAGTGGATATTTTGCCGGAGGTAATGACGGCAAACTAACGATTACTAAAGGTTTGCCGGCGGCAATCCATATCAACAGAGGGCGCTGTACTCTTTAAAATAGGGCTGAATTATAAGATGTATTAAATTCCCACCAAATGTTGTGTAGCACGTTTGGTGTAATGGTTAAGCAAAGGCTCTAGTAAGCGGGATGACTCGCGTTCGATTCCGACCGCACCACATTTTTAAGTTTTTTTTTCTCATCCCCAAATAAATAAGAATATTCTTCTTTTATTATTTTAACATGTCTCAAACATGTTTTGCAGAGTATTACATTTTTTTTTTCAGATTTGTGGCTCTGGAGGATTTTTTTTAAAAGGGAAATAAAGTCCGAAATTATAAAATGGTCTGAATCCCATCTTGTGAATACGAGGTGACAACGATAATTTTGGCATGGAGCCAGCCTAAAACTTGTCACCGGAAAATGTTGAAGTACAAAAATACAGTAACTGCGCATGTTCAGTGCATATCCGGCAAACTAACGTTTACTAAAGGTTTGCCGTCTCCGGCAAAATATACACTGCCTAAAATTTAAGCCGAAATTGAAAAACGGTGGCGTCCGGAAATTGGGCACAAATTGGCGGAGTGTTCCCTAACGTGGCGCACTAAAAAAAAATTCCAAATTAACATTTAAGAATTTCTGTAAACTTGATAAATTTTGATAAGTCATTATTATCTCTACTTACATACCCAGCCAGATGTTTGTCAGAAAATTATTTTCTTATTTTTCGGGGCTTTTCAAAGGGTTCACTTTGCACTTGCCAAAACGCCAAAAGAAATTTTTCTGTTAACTTTGTAGCGGGTAAATAAACTCGCGATTTATAAACGGGAGTGTTTAGAACTTGATGAAATGTCACTTTCTGTGAAATTTCAGTTAAAACTTTTGCTGTAGCTAGGCGCTATAGGCAAAAAATCAAAGTGCGCCACGTTAGGGTACATCAACAATATAGCCCCATAAATGTGGCCAATTAATTCTGGTTACCTCGTAAATAAAGGCCACACTTCCACCATGTACAAAAAAACTTTGTCAAATTTTGATTTTCACATTTAGGCTTAGTTTGTAGTTTATTTTTGCTTAGTTTAAACATACTCACCCTCTTTTTAATTTAGGGTGATCGTGTAGACTAGACTGTAGTGTAGGGCCTGGTTCAATCAAGGAACAAAATCCACTTTAAAATGATTGGACCTACCAAACTAGTTGGTGACATTCTCAATAAACAGGTATGTCATAGAAAGAGGGCAGGGTTTTGATTTTTTGAGGGAAATTTTGGGGTAAAATGACGATGACAGCGCGGCGACAACACGCGACCCGAAAATAAAGATGGCGATCACTGCGTGATGTACCGTGAGCACGCACGGCGCGCTGAATCGCAAGACACAAACCGCGCAGGAAAATTGTGATTTCTACCCCAAGAATCTGTTCAAAATTGCAAAATGGGTGTCATTAGAGTTGAGAAAAATCTGCTTTTGATTGAAAAGGTGATTGTTGAGCAAAGCCGCACTTTCTGATTAGCCTATAAAGAGGGTGAGTATGCTTCTAAAGCAAAAATAAACTACAAACTAAGCCTAAATGTGAAAATCAAAATTTGACGAAGCTCTACATGTTTTTGTACATGGTGGAAGTGTGGCCTTTGCTTTATTTACGGAGGTAGTCCAGTAAATTGGCCCTATTTATGGGGCTACAGTAATTATAGTGATTCTGTGGTTTAGGACCACGTTCCTAGCCAGTGGACTCCCCTAAGAATAAAGATGTCATGTGCAAGGATACATTTGGTGGAGAGAGGGTAGAGTTTTGATTTTCGAGCGCAGTTAGACCCGTGTACATGGCTTGTAAACAAGCGAAATTACATCACAGGTGATAAAACTAGTAAAAGCACAATCATGACAAAGTAAGGCGATTGTGTATCTACGAACACGGTTCCTAGTAATACTAGTATCCTCGTGTGACCTTTTTTCGCGCACTTAATACTTTAACCGATTTTTTTTCTTGTATAAACTTAACCCTACATAGTTATGGACTTTAATTTTGTAAGAATGACTATTAATAAACTTCGTGGAAAAATAATTTGAACAAGTTCGAACGTCAATTTGACCAAGAACGTTGTCGACTGCAGATGAGTCAAATTGGCTGCCACAAAAGTTTGGTGCCGATAATTCTCGCACGAACGGAAAATATCATTCTGCAAAGTCTCCATTGTGTCCTACTTCTGAAAACAATGTGGAACGATGTTTGTTGAATAAAGGATAAGTTTATGTGCACAACTTTGGTCTGTAGTTTGATAAACTAACTTTAGTTTGCCACCTGGCATTGTTACTAAATACCCGTTTGTTTAAATATGAAATAAATGAATTTCTTTTGATTTTGGTGGACAAAACTTCCTGCAAAATATTCAAAATCATTTCATAATTGAAAATTGGAGGTAAATAAATTAATCCACACATTTTTCATATATCTGATAATATCTTTTTGTCAAAAATGTAAGAAGTAAAATCCTATGCATGGAAAGAATTCCGAGAATTTTTGTTTTGCTGAAAGTTAACCATGTGCCAATTACATAGCATTTTACATATTAGTACAGATTCGCCAACAATAGAAATAAATGCAAATGAACTACATTTTGTAGCCGTGGCTATATTTTTAAGTACATGGAAAAATATATTTGAATTGACCCCTCCAGCTGAGTCCAGCAAAAGCATAACAAAGCCACCCTTCTGTAACAATTTTCTCCGGCATTTATTGCTCATTCCAGTACACTTGCAATATCAATCAATCAATTATATAAGGCGCGCCTAGCCTGCATACAGTCGACCATACCATGGCCGATCACGCCACCTCGACGCGACACATGATCGCATACACCTCATTTCAATGAAAAAAATAGGTATCAGCCTAATGCACATTGCATGCATTTTTTGGGGTACTTTAAAAATTACGATTAGGTCTTATTCCGACAGAAATATATTTTAAAGCATATTCATTCCAACAAACGAATCAGTACCTAAATCTGCATCTAGCTTAACAAAACAGATCATAAAATATTGACTTGATATAAAGCGCATGTCGTTTTTCATGCTCCTTAATTCTGATTACGCCCTCTGTTGTTAAATGAAAGTCGACCGAAGTTGAATATCATGTTTGGGGGTTCGCTCGTACCCCCGCCCTGCAAACAGGATGCTCTGATTGGTTGGATTTTGCATGACCAGTGACCTGCGCGTCATCAAGGTCATGACTCTGTAAGGTTTGAAAATGCCGTTAAGACTGGTTCATTACTCTTTTATTCCAGTTTAGAGATGTTTTTTATCGTTGAAAAGCGTAATAATGTAGGAAATTCTGTAAAACTTATCTGTGTTGTAAATTTACAATTCCCGTCACTCGCTCAGGCTCCGTTTCGAATCACGAACGGTGGGATTGCATTATGCTCAAAACTTTGTCCACATGATCCGCAATGAAACAGAAATCACATCCGGTATGGAATGTGCACAATTCTATGGGAAGTTTTCGGATAGCATTAGCGCACATTGTCTAACTGCAGTCTTGAACAGCTGCAGCCAGATGCTTTATACATAGGTCATAGGCCACTTCCTTCACAAGATTCTGTGAAGCTCATCAGAGTATTCCAGCGTCATGTTTGCAGGGCGGGGGGTACGAGCGAAGTTTGGGGGTTGGACGGCGACATTGATTTGAAATTCATAGTGATGTTTTTATTAGTTTTCTGGGCCATTCAATAATGTTACGTTTTGTATCTAGTCAGTACGGCAATAATTTAGTCTCTCTTTTATTTCTTTCAAATTACTTCTCGGAAAAGCTATTGATTTTCGCATAAATGCATTGAGAAGAAAGGCAATGTGACGATGGATCATTAACGGTGATTTGACATTGGTCCGTGTTGTGTGAAAAAAGATACAAGCCGAGAAAGTTGGCTGCGCGAATATTGGTCAGCGCAAATTTGGGGCTCTGGACGATATAAGGGAACAAAATCCACTTTAAAATTATTAGACCAACCAAACTAGTTTGCGACATTCTGAATAAACAGGTATGTCATAGATAGAGGGCAGGGTTTTGCATTTTTGAGGGAAATTTGGGGGTAAAATGACTAGGCCTGTGACTCTATGATGATGATAGACCCGTGAACGTGGCTTGTAAACTACGCCACGCTCCATTACCATTTTGAACCATCGAAACTATCTTTTCATGACACAAAGTTAAAACTGAATATTATTTTACCGTGTGATAAGCGCTCCTATATATGAAACGTTCTTGAAATCTGCTTTTTCGGCAAATCTTGCATATGAACGAAATTTGATGTAAAATCTGGCGAGGGCGCACTACTGCTCGCTGCGACGCGAAAAATAAGAGGAAATATTATTTTTTATTTTTCTGAACAAGTAACAAGGACCTACTTTATAAATACTCCCCATACTTTCAAGTTCCGTTAAAATGTTTACCTGAAGTACAGTATTCAATTCAACTTAATAGTATGGAAATAAATCTGAAACCTTAAAATACATGGTATTCCTAAGCAAAAACTGCACAGCAAATTTACATCTTACTTCTTGTGCTTAATGTAGTCAATAAAAAAATAACAACAAAAACAGGTGGATCTGGAATCCTATAAATTGAATTCATCATGAATTCATCATATAAGAATATTCTTATAGGCCCATGTCTTTTTCACTTTAATATTCAGATTTTTTTTATAATTAAGTTGAAAATGCAGTCGTTACACTTTTCACCTCTTGTGCCATTAATACATTGGCAAAATTGAACAGTTGCTCTTTATGCTCCAGCTTACACCTGCTACTAAAATCAGAAGAGAAAAAAGCCCAGGCATGGAAAAGATCCTTGCTGATCTTGTTGATGAACTGGGATGTCAATTAAGTTCACCACAAACACAATCTATAGGTCTTCTTATGGAAAAAAAAGATGTAGTAGCCGTCCTCCCCACATGATCTGGGATGCGACATGAAACAGCTGTCAATCTGTCCAAGCGACAACCATAATCGTATGCGTAACATGAAGCAGACGGGTAGCTTGGAGGGCTCTGATAATTTTGCATGCAATTAACCCTGGGTTCTTGTCCAGTTAAAGTTAAAATGTATTTCTACATGTTCGTAAGGGTCTTCATTTTTGGCAAATTTCTTGGAAATAACACGCCCTGAACACGCGTGAAGGCACACAAAGATTTCTAGGTAAGGGATTGAAAACTATGGCCGGGTTATAGCCGCTACCTGGCTTGATCTGCACAGCATGAAGTTGTGAACAAAATTATCAAGCCCAGGTTATATCTGTATCCTGTTGTCAGATCTTTCAGACTGCTGCAACTGCCCCCCGACTTAGGCCGGGCGGTGGTGGGTTGAGCGCTTTGGTGCCGGGAACCCTCCCTCTCCAGAAGCAGCAACTGTCATGATATAGGAGTCATTGTCATTGTCAGTAGAGAGTACTCCCTTTTTTATAATTCAGACTGGGAACTGTTAGTATGAGTGACGTACACCAACGTGCCAAGTCATAGGAAATGATCTACCACGGATCAATTTCACTAGGTTCGAAATGATACCAGAGCGTTGCATTGTATACCACGCCACGTTCACGGGTCTCTGATGATGACAGATGACAGATGACTTACGAACTGTGCATGTGTTATTCTTCATGCTAATATGAGCCAGAGTTGGCAAGATTGGGTTTGATTTGTCTTGTAGATAGCGCCCTCTAACATTGGTTTAAATTGGCTGCACTTGCTAGAGCCATGCATCGCTGCTAGGGGCAGCTGTACGTTAGATGGACATAATCCAAATCCAGTACTTGGGCCAAGACTACCCCACCCAAGTCTGAGGTCAGGGAATGGGCCTGATGAAATAGAGGACATTTCCGGGTAACACCATGTGGAAAGAAATCTCTTCTTGGAATAAGTGCGTTCTGAAAAGAATGGGCCTGAGATAAAATGAAAATGTTGTGTGCGTAGGATTTACGAAGCGATGTTTTATTTGGCATCTAAACATCGGCACATCTTTCATGTCATGTACCACATGATACACTGTACATTTGGTGTACATACTGTTCGTAATTCTTTCACTTATAATCCTTTCTTACTTTCCAGATGTCAGCTAAAAGTGTTCCGGAGGCTTCAGATATTTCAGACAAGTCAGATGATGATAGACACGGGACCTTACCTAAGTCAGATCATGGCACCGAGAATATGTGTGATTGTACCAGTTATGCTACAACTGAACTTAATGAAGATTTTGACAGAGACACACATGTCGTACAAAGACTGCTGCTTCTTTCGAATAAGATCAAGAACCACAACATTGTTGGCAGCTCACTCCTCTCAAATGTGAAGTTCATACAGTACAAATATGAGAGTGGTGCATGTGATGCTATTTTTAATCAAGTAACACAAGCATTGAATGGGGCAAAAGTTGAAAGTATTGCCTGTATCTTCCATACCAAACCAGGAAACATATTGCTGTGTACAAATGGAGAAAACAGAGAGGTAAGACTTGATTTTAATACATACATGTAGCCACTTCAGAGTGAAGTGAAATTTAATCATATTTCTGGGGAAAACTAACATTGATGTTTATCTTTATTACATGTTATGCCACATTTTGCTCTGTATTGAAAGAATCCAAAATTGCCAGGGGTTCCAACCTCCATGGATGGATGAACCAAGCGTATCTTTTAAGCTGGGACATCTTTTGTAGGAAACCATAGATGTGGAAAACAGAATTTGAGCTCTGATGTGGATTGAAGAATGTGAGAGTTGTATGGAGGTATTGATGGGATGTTCAAAAGATGTGGCTCATACCTGATGCAAAGGGAAATTGGGCAATTGATGTCTTTGGTTTGGAATATACATCCATGATGAAGAGACCATACTCCTGTCAATGTCATACAAGAACATCTAGGAACACGTAGGCAAAGTGTGTCCTACAAAGTTCACATGTGAATTGGATAACTAGTATGGTACGGTACGGTACATGTATAAAGAGTTGCTACTTACAATAGCAACTCTTTGAAAGAAGATTCTCCGGACAATATCTGAGGAGGTTCAAGCTGGCCCATGACGATATTGGCGTACAAGTACCGTAGTTGTGCCCTGCATTTTAACCCTAACCCACCTCACTCCTCCAAACTCTTCCTGGCGGTTTTGGAGGATTCTAGAGGATTGAGGATGAATGGTGATTGAATCAAATGAGGATTCTTGAGGATTGAGGATGAATGGTGATTGAAGCACATGAGGATTTTGGAGGATTGAGGATGAATGGTGAATGAAGCACAAGAGGATTTTGGAGGATTGAGGATGAATGCATTTTGAGGCAGGACTGTCTGATGATTTTGAAGGATTTGGCATTGGTTATCCTTCATTTAAACACGAGTGCAAAGTTTTGGGATGAGGAGGATTTTGGAGGATTGAGGATGAATGCATTTTGAGGCAGGACTGTCTGACAATTTTGAAAAATTTAGGCGGAGTTGAAAAATTTTGGAGGATTTTGGAGGATTGAGGATGGTTGTAAGCAACAAGGGCCTAGGGGGTTAGGGTTAATGCTACAATTGTGCGAATGTAAGGATGAGTTGGAAGTGTTTGAGTGGAGGGGTATTGAATGGTATCGATGCTGTGTGGTGATCCATGTATTGTGTGGGAGGAGGCCAGTTAATGCTGTGTGGTGATCCATGTATTGTGTGGGAGGAGGCCAGTTAATGCTGTGTGGTGATCCATGTATTGTGTGGGAGGAGGCCAGTTAATGATGTGTGGTGATCCATGTATTGTGTGGGAGGAGGCCAGTTAATGCTGTGTGGTGATCCATGTATTGTGTGGGAGGAGGCCAGTTAATGCTGTGTGGTGATCCATGTATTGTGTGGGAGGAGGCCAGTTAATGCTGTGTGGTGATCCATGTATTGTGTGAAAGGAGGCCAGTTAATGCTGTGTGGTGATTCATGTATTGTGTGGGAGGAGGCCAGTTAATGATGTGTGGTGATCCATGTATTGTGTGGGAGGAGGCCAGTTAATGCTGTGTGGTGATCCATGTATTGTGTGGGAGGAGGCCAGTTAATGCTGTGTGGTGATTCATGTATTGTGTGGGAGGAGGTCAGTTAATGCTGTGTGGTGATTCATGTATTGTGTGGGAGGAGGCCAGTTAATGCTGTGTGGTGATTCATGTATTGTGTGGGAGGAGACCAGTTAATGATGTGTGGTGATCCATGTATTGTGTGGGAGGAGGCCAGTTAATGCTGTGTGGTGATCCATGTATTGTGTGGGAGGAGGCCAGTTAATGCTGTGTGGTGATTCATGTATTGTGTGGGAGGAGGCCAGTTAATGCTGTGTGGTGATTCATGTATTGTGTGGGAGGAGGCCAGTTAATGATGTGTGGTGATCCATGTATTGCGTGGGAGGAGGCCAGTTAATGCTGTGTGGTGATCTATGTATTGTGTGGGAGGAGGCCAGTTAATGCTGTGTGGTGATTCATGTATTGTGTGGGAGGAGGCCAGTTAATGCTGTGTGGTGATTCATGTATTGTGTGGGAGGAGGCCAGTTAATGCTGTGTGGTGATTCATGTATTGTGTGGGAGGAGGCCAATTAATGCTGTGTGGTGATTCATGTATTGTGTGGGAGGAGGCCAGTTAATGCTGTGTGGTGATCCATGTATTGTGTGGGAGGAGGCCAGTTAATGCTGTGTGGTGATTCATGTATTGTGTGGGAGGAGGCCAGTTAATGCTGTTAATTTGGCAACTTATTGAGAGATGTTGGGTCATTCCACCGGGTTGGGACACAATGTGTGACCTATGACCCCAAATGTTTTTAACGTTTAAACCCCAAATGTCACACTTCCGTCGAGTGATATTGACACCGTTACGTCCACATTAAGGTATTGTTTCTGCTATATTTGAACTATACCAAAAACAAAAGCTTTTCTTGGTTCATTAGGTGTCCAATTATAAATATGCAATATCAGTTTGGGTAATACATTTTGTATTTTACATATGTATGTAGGCCTACCGGGTATATGTGTAAAAAAAACCGGCCAAAACAGAAGACATGTATTTGGATGTAACATTGACACAGTGTTAATGTTATATCTGGATGAATACATTTTTGCTCATATTTTTGTCAAAGTACATTCAAATGATGTCCATTTTTTTAAAGTATTGAAATGCCTAAAGACAAATATTACGTTGAGCAATTGTTTAGAATGCATTGACACTTTTAATAATATAACCAAATATTTGGATGTAACACGCACTGTGTCCCAATCCGGTGGAATGAGGCTGTTGTGTATTGTGCATTGACCTATACAGCTCTGTTGTCCATGATGAGTCAGTTGGGATTGCTTTGGAGGTGTATGTCCAGCATTCGTACACATTGACCATAGCAAGTCCTTATTTCATGGCACTTCTTACTGTTAGCTACCCCCCCCCCCCCCCCAAAAGAAACCAAAGAACAGCCTCCTCTAATTCGGATGCAAATTTTGCTCCTTTGGTTAGCACATTTCACAGGTTAACAACAATTTTTGGCTTGTGCATTTACATGTGAAAATAACTAAGGATTCTGCACAAACAGGGTCAGTGCCACAGACTGACGGAGTTAGTGTGTCAAGAATACAGGCAGATGTAATTTGAACACCATGTTGAGAGGCCATCTCTGTAAAGGACAAGTTTCTGTCTGGGCTGTGGTTTGCATACATGTAGTAATCAGTGCTGTGTGCTGTGAAGTGCAAAATGTGTATTTGTGGGCGGGCTGTCACCATGTTATGGGGAAATGTTTCATCGAGTTGTGGGGACTTTCTGCTGTCCCCATAGTGTCTTCAGTCCCTATAGTACCATGGGATAACTCCTGTGTAGTCCCAAGAGTTATGGAACAAGAATGCGTGTACACACATGTGTGTTTCCTGATGTGGCAGCAAGCAGTGGAGTATTACAGTAAAGACAATAGACCCCACAAATCAGTCTGTAGAAATCTATGTACCCAACAGAGAAACACTATGAAGTTTGACATTTCTATAGTTATCAAGGAAAACAAAAGAAAGTAACAATTGTCTTTCCCACAAGTATATTTAGGCCTTTTCACACTGTCCAAAGTCTCTGGGTTGGAACCGGTTCCAACCCCGAGATTTGTTTCAATCCTGTTCCGACTTCTAAAATTTCAACCCGGTTCTGACCCAGGTAGCGTGTTCTAGCCGGATCGAAATAAACCCTGGCAGGGACCAGGGTTGAAAATCTCAACCCGGATCGAAATTGCATTTTTCGGCATGAACCGTGGCGAAAATGATTGTGTGAACCGCCCCGAGTTGAGTCACTCGTGACCGATCCTTGTTGAGTTGAGGCCGACATTCACCGAAAATCTGACACGCCGTGCCTATTTCCCTCCACTATCATCGCCATCACAAACACCGATCACGAGACAATCGTTCCCTAATTATCATCCAAAAATGGCTCGGAGTATGAAGCATCCTTTACGGAGTCTGAGCTTTTATATATTATGTCCGCAAACTGTACAAAAAAGGTACATTTCTAACGTTAAATCATGTATATAGAACGAATCATCTAACGAAATGAGCGGAGCCATTTTGGAAATATTATGTTGCACACAGCTGGTGTCGTATATGTGAAAATCAGACTCCCATGAATGCCTTTACTCTCTTATTGGTCAAACGCTCTCACGTGACCAGTCTTTCTCCTAATTATCATACTCAGGCAAGCACAATACTACCAATGAGTCCGTATTTCACTGAGAAGTAAATTCACGCTGCACACCGGCCTGTCGGTTAGCCTCGTGGGTGCACGCAGCTAGCTGAGCCGCGTGCGTCCCAATGCATAATGGGATTGAAAATGCGATCCGTGTTGAGGATTTGTAGTGTGAACACGCAGGGGCCCTAGCCGGATTGAACGTTACACGGTTCACGTAGCGGCCATTTCCGTAAAGAACAGTATGAACGTTGCTTCTCTCCGATCCGTGTCGAAAACAACTCTGGCTGAACCGGGTTGGATCCGGGTTGGTTTCAACACGGTTCGAAACGGAGATAGTGTGTAAGGTTGCAGTTTATGAAAGTGTCCTTATGGGCTACTAGCACAAAGGGAGGAATAAAAACCATAAGTCGGTTTTTGTCTAATGGAACCCACATGTGAAATTCTAAATATGAGGGATAAAAGAAGAACGATGCAAGTACATGTACCCGGCCCAAAAGCCAATCCGTATACATTATGTAGGTGTGTGCTTACTTTACATACACCTCGCAAACTGACAGACAAAGGGAAAACAACAAATTTTTGTTGTCCACAAGCATTCATCTTTTGTTGAAAACATTCCTCGATCCTGAGTTTGTGTGCTTAGTCTATGGGAGAGTGTTATATTATAGGGACAAAGGAAAAATCATTGTGCTCAAGAGTTATGTAAAGGACATAGACGAGTGTGTGTGTGTGCATGTTTTTGAGTTGACTGATGATTAGTGGTAAGGGGTAAGCCTCATCTACAGAAATGTATGAAACCTAGATTTGTTTGAATCTTTCAGACGCTGACACCTGGTAACATTGCAGAACAAAACTCTGTAGTGATTTTCTTCAAATCCCTCCTAAGTATGTTCTGTAAAAGAGACTGTGAATCAGTACGGTTTGATCTGCTTGCCTGCAGTGCACTAAGACCATCCGACATAGGGCATCTGGCACCGACATTGGCAAAGTTATTAGAGGTAAGTCACAAATTGTTGATTTAACTAATAGAATGAACTAAGCCATATCAAAATGCAGTGTGATCTGATGCAATTTCTGACCACTTTAACCAATATTTTCTTAGCCAAAGGTAATCATGTATACATCAGTTTCGAGGATGGAGTCATTGAATCAGCTATTCTGAGCTGTAGAATAATACAGGCTACAATGTTTATTGTAGAACATCATTATAATAGAATGATCAAATTTAGGGGCTAGAGTACATAAAATAATGGGAATATAGGGTGAAAGTATACATCTGAACAACTTTCACCAGATCGATTGCAGCGCACCCATACATGTATGTGCTACGCGTGCGCACGCAACCGGCACCGGCTGCCGCATGCATGCTAGGTAGACTGTCACGTACTATCAATTGGGAATCATTTTTCGAGTTATAGTTTTCATCGAGTGTACAGTTGAAGAGTGCAAATCATAATACGCCTACTCATGGTTAGAACTGCCTAATTATCTGGCAGTAGCACATAAAAGGGCCCTAAAATCAGACACATGGGTTCAAAATTCTGTGGGGGACATTTGATATTGTGTCTCCCATCCTTCAAAAAGTGCATTGTGAGCAGTTTGCAAGTTCAAAAAACACCTTCAGATACTTTGGTAGATAAAAAGGACATTTGAACGATTTTACAAACACATACGTATAATGTGCCCTTTGCATGTTCATTTTAACTATTTATTCCACCTCCACAACAAGGAAAGTGATACAAAAACAAGAAATGCCACAAAAAGTAGTTAACAAAAAGAACAAAAACTAAATTTAAAAAAATAACACATATTTTACAGTAACTTTTTTTAAGCAGAATATCATGAAAAGGAGGGAATGCAAGTGAAAAGGGCTTCCGTAGGAGGTAAACAATAACCAACAAAACACAGTGATCAGTGGCCATCACTGAATTTCTGTAAGAGGATTCCAGCCTACTGAGCATCAAACAAAGGTTGCTTTTTCCCCTCATCACACACCAGACTTAAACAGAAAAATCTGCAGTTTACAAGGTTAAGTTTAACTCTCATTCTGGTGCTTGATAAAACAGGTTCCTGTTGGTATTTCTAAGGAAATTCTTGGAACAGACATCCCATTGGAGGCAAGCTCTCATGGGCCATCATATCAGTAAGTGACAAGTTATATGTACATATTTTGATATGTTTTAATTACATCTTGCATTTTATAATTTTAATTTTACATTATTTTAATTTCTTTTTAGCATTTGTTGATACATTAAAAAAAATATTATTCCCTTTTCTTGTACCGGCAAGCAAATGTAATTTCCTTTATGGATCAATAAACTAATTCCATTCTATTCAAGTCAATTCAAGTCAATTCAAGTCAAGTCAAGTCAAGTCAAGTAGTCAAGTCAAGTCAAGTCATGTCAAGTCAAGTCAAGTCAAGTCAAAGCATGTCAAGTCCAGTCAAGTCAAGTCAAGTCAAGTCAAGTCAAGTCAAGTCAAGTCAAGTCAAGTCAAGTCAAGTCAAGTCAAGTCAAAGCATGTCAAGTCAAGTCAAAGCATGTCAAGTCAAGTCATGTCAAGTCAAGTCAAGTCAAGTCATGTCAAGTCAAGTCAAGTCAAGTCATGTCAAGTCAAGTCAAGTCAAGTCAAGTCAAGTCAAGTCAAGTCAAGTCAAAGCATGCACTTGTTTCCTTAACAATTAGAAGATTTGTTATCTTCAAACAGAAAGTTTGGTATTGGTTGAAAATATGCACAATATTAAAGATTACAAGGTAGTTGTGCCAGTCAGTTATAACTGAAAAATAAGTTAAGTTAAGATACAAATAATTTGTATGCTTGGTCAGTGATGTTAATACATACAAGGATAATTGTTGCCTGCAGTGACAGGGTCCATGGTGTTTTGGACACCCGAGGAAGCAACCATTTGCTCCCGAGGGTGTACAAAACCCATGGACCCCGTCACAGCAGGCAACAATTGTTTTATTATGCCATGGTAATAGATAACAGCTAGCTGCAGCTGTCCAACTCTCTGACTGGTAATGTCTGAAACTGTGGTTCTCGTTCTGTTGCAGTGCAGTATTGGTGAACTATTTGCACAGAATTTTTCATATTTTTCTTCATGCTGATTCTGTCCTGTTCAAAAATCAAAATTCTGATCTTGTCTTTGGAACAAGAGAAAAAAACCCCTCTTTTCAGAAGCGACCTGTGATTCCCTTATTCCACCAAGTTGAATGGCCCCAAGATCACCAGATCAATTACCTTTTGTAAGTTTTTCTTGTTGGTCACTTGAAAAACAAGTTTTTTTGCTATGTCCTCATTCAGGAATGTAGGTGGATGAGGTAAATGACTGTCAAGAATTTTCACGTCTTCAGCTCTCCAAAATTATCAAATAATTCACCCTTATGCTTCAGTCAACACACCAAGTTTCCTCAACATTTGAAAGACTTATATCCATAGATCAGTATGGCGATCCATATTCGTCTCAAAGTCATCTCGTTTTTGGAGATTTCCTGGACAATTTTTCTGCTATACCAGTATCAGCTGGAAAACCAAAGCTTGCCTTCAACCGCTGGTAAACATATTGTCCTCTGCAAACAATTGCATGGTCGTCTTCTTCGGATGGGTTGCTTCATATGTTAATGTTCCATTCAAAATCACTGGCAGCTCAGGCATCTCCATGGATACAGGACTTCATTCAGATGAATCCATTGTATCTTACGCAGGGTGTAACAATGCCAATTGCTTCTCGGCCCTGCCAGCAGAGGTATCTACCATTATTTATGCATTCACTAAACAAGGGAATAGACTTGTACTTTCAGTGCCCCTTTACTGATAAAACTTGCCGTACAACTGGATCTTTGGATCTAGTACAGAGACCCTGTGCAAGCCACCCTTGACCTGCTACAACCCTTGCAACTGAGTGCAAGTGCCGGCGCCGATCACGGCACACCCACCGCGAATGTATGGCCAGAATACACAGGGGGAGGAAGACTGCCTGTCATTGTAGGCAATCGGAGATCGTCCCGGGTCCACAGCATCAATACATGTTGAACTTGTGTGAAAACATCAAGGTCAAGAGATAAAACAATGCATTCTCAGTGCAGTAACATTGGATATGTAGTTAAGGAATATGGAATAAGGTGTCAAAAAAAAAAAATTCAACCTCATGCCTACTTATTAACTACAGTAAACTCCGGCTAAGACGGCACTCTCGGGACCAGAGAATTTGTGACGACTTACGTGAATGTCGGCTTCTACTGCAAGTCGTCATTTTGCCGACTTACACAAATACACAAATTGAATCACGGAGTGAAAAAAATAGATTGAATTAATGGCCTATGCGCATCTGTATCTGGATCATGTAAACAAGATTCATGGCTAAATTTCAAAGGCTTTGATTTACCCTGGTTTATTTCTACATCCATGGTTGATTCCAGCAAATATATCCTCAATGTTTATCATCACAAACAGACTGTGGTATTGATCACAGAAAGTCATGCATGTACGTACGTACGAAGCAAGGACGGCGCGGCCAGCTGGCGGTAACAGTGGTATACAGACCACTTGCATACTGTACGTCCATGTACATATAGTTTTCATTGTGCACGTACATACGTGTACAGTCACGAATTAAATGTGTGCATGGTACTGGTACAATGAGGGGACCCCCAAAATGAACAGAGCGCATGCGTGCAGCCAAGAGGGGGTACTGGTATTGATGGTACGGAATGGACATGTACTTCGTGTAAGCGAACGATGCACACAATGTACAGACTGTGCATGAAACAGTGTACACGTGCGATTAGTGTACACGTGCTGGCCGATGCATCGATCACGGGCCGTGCCATTGATAAACAGATGTCAGTTAGTGTGTGGGACTTTTCACTCGACACTTCTTACAAACCGCAGAGCACGATGCCGACTTATACAGAGGAATTTGTGTGGTTTTGAGGAAATGGGACTGAAAGTAACACGCTGACATAGGCGAAATGGCGGCTTACAAAGGCCGGCTTAGAAATGAAAATGTCAATGGAAATGCATTAGAGACAATCGGGACTTTCGTCAGACGGCCGATTTAAGCAATATGACGGTTTATACGATGTCGGTTTAGCCGGAGTTAATTACTGTATATGAAACAACCCTGAAGCATATGTTTTGTTGCATTGTGATGTTCAACATAATACTTTGTTCCATCGAATAATGTTGTTTGTGTACATGTACCTATCATGTAGATGTGTTGGAGAAATGTATTTCAAGACAGACAAGCTGAAAAATTGGAGTCCACAGCCACAAACCCTTGCAGGGTTTGAGCGCATTCGCACAGTAGGAAAGGGTGAGTCTTCTAGTCACATTTGGTAATGATTTTTAACTCCTTTCCCTTTGAGCATGATGGTTATTGTCTGGTAGACATTTTGACAGTACATGTATACATGTTTTGTAGATGGAAAGTTTTTTTTCTGGTTTCCCCTTTCTTTCTTGCAACATACAGTAGGTGGAGGATTGTCCTCACGAAAAGACAAAATTGATTTTGGAAATATATGCTTACATTCATGACAATATGTTAGTTGCTGTGGTGTTGGCAGAAAGCCCTTTTTTAATGCACAATGTATCAGACTGATAAATGACCGATGACTTTCTGTCTTTCAGGCCCCTCTAAAATTCTTGAAATTCTTAACAGTTTGCAAACTGGTATTTTGAAAGTATAATGCCATGAATGCACAAGAATTCTTACAGCTACATATGAACCAAACAAAATAAGGAGACCAATGGTCAAGCTGTTATGGGTACATTAATGGAGAACTATTTATTCTGAGGCTACTAGGCTGGACCAAATTGAATTAAGGAATTCTACAAGGCCAAATCACATACACATATAACAAAAAAGAATCCTCATAAACACAATACAGTCAAACTTTGATATGAAGAGCACTGTTAATACAACATCCTGCTTACAACAAGCACAATTTTAGGTCCCAAGTTTTTTTTCTTCTTTGTTTTCCATTACTAATAATGCAAGATACCCAGTACAAGTACATGTAATTTGTAAAGTCCCAAGGACCTTGTTATAAAGGTGTTCGACTGTACATCGTTGGAAAGTAAAATGAAAGAGACAAAACAATTATAAAATTTGTGTTTTTTGTTGTTGTTGATTTTGTTTTTTAACATAAAGCAAAAGGGAGGGAGGGTGGGAAGTAAATTGTTGAAGTCAGTGCTGCTGCGGCTTGAATCAGAATGAAGCTGATCGCACTTGCCTTCACAATATAAACCCATTTCATGACAAAGTAAAACAATACAAAATTATTTCATGGAAATTGCCCCAGTGATTGTCCATCTGTTTCCATGACTCATGAGGGAGAGTAGTAGTTGGAAACAGGATGTTGGGACCCTCCCATGTGGGGGCCATTGACCAACACTGACCATGATGTGGGTCAGTGTTTTTAACCTTACATGTATATTGTCTCCTGTAGTTCAGTAAAACAAAAATGTTACTTAATGATTTGCATAATTCCTTTATCTTTACATTATGTTTACATTTATGTGATAGGTTTTGTGTTTGTGCATTGCGAATGTGAGGGAGGTTGTAAAGTGCAAATTTAATAAAGAAAATATTAGTGCATTTCAAATGTTAAAACTATTACTGTGATAAATTGCAACAAATATAATTGCCTGTGAAAAATGTATGTAATCAATGCCCAAATGTGACATTTTAATGAAAAATGAACAATAATTTTCCAAATCAGGAGCATATGGAGCAGCAGTCTTGTACAGGAAAAAAGACGATGACTCCTTGGTTATTCTGAAGGAGATAAATATGCTGGATCTATCAGCTTCTGAACGCCAAATGGCCCTTAATGAGGTATGTACCATGACTGAGATTTCATTTAAATTTTCTTATATCAAAATTTGAATTGTTTGTAGGTTTTTTGGTTTATCTATAGGCCTGTATAATCAAACGTGGCCATGGTACTGGGAGCCATAGTGTCTGGCAGCCAATTACATAAATTTTGAACAATACATAATTTACTCTAATGTTATAAGATGAAATAATTGTATTTGTTGGATGTTGTTACGCAATATACAGCAGGGCTGTAGTCAAGTCCATCTCAGGTCTCTGCAAGTCCACCACAAGTCATCTAGTCCCAGTTCAACTCACAAGCTATCCTAATCAGGGATCCTACACACAAGGATAAATGACTTTCCTGAGTTCTAGTACAAAATGCACTGAGCTGACTTGCCTTAATTAGTTAGACGCGTGATAATGGGCATTACTACCTGTAGGCTTGTAATTGCGAATTTTCCAGGTGTGCCATTTTTTTTTTTTTTTTGTGTGCATGATTTCAAAAATGGAAATATTCATAAAACTGTAAGCAAAACTACTCCTTATGCTATATAATTGTTCCCAAATTGTTAAAAAATAATTACTTTAGGATATAACAGATGGTATTGTGCAGTTTTTGCCATCATAGATGAAGTATTTACCCGGGAAATAAACGTCAAATTTCGAGGAAAAACACCGTTTACCCAAATTTCGTTTTAAATTAGGCTTTCCATACAGAGTTTTTGAGAGATGTGGTCCTGAACCGATAAAATAAAAGCGAACATTTCATAGTTCATTTCAAAGCTAAAGATATTGTGCTTGGCGTTAACATGGTTATGTAGATATCACTTATCATAATCTATATATATATATATATAAGAGCAAGTTTTACTCGGCCTCCGAGAAATGTTTGCTCCCTAAAGGATCCGAGACCGCCGGCTCCCGCGACGCCAAAAATCCCACCACATCCGTAGAAATATGGGTTATTTTTGGGGCCTGTTTTGGAATTACTCACTCACTCATTCACACTCACTAAGTTGGCCACAGCTGAGCCCTGCACCCGATTTCATCAAACTCTTCGTAACTTACGATGCATCGCAGCGCTGCGACGCGTCGTATCTCTACGACACATTGCAGCTGCGACGTGTCCTGCGATCCATTTCACAAAACACGTCGTAAGTGCGACGCGTCGTATGTGTATTTATAGCACAACTGGGTGACTGTTTTATGTATTTATTCAGCGTACAGTAAATAGTCGTCTGATATTCATCAAAGAGCCGTCCGGTCTCAGCTCGAAATTTGTTAAAACATAAAACAAAATGGTGGTCGTGCGATGCAATTTTGCAGGAAAACAAGCTCTCAGTGGACTGTATAGCTACTTTGAAATTTCAACTGCAATATTCCAGTCTAATTCATAATTATTCAATGAATTTTCTATTTACAACTTTACACACATTGCCTCGGTATTATAATTTTGTTTATGGCATTAAACTGGCTAAGAAAGGGACTCTTCTTATTTTGCGATGACCACTAGACACGTCGTAACTTGCGACGTGTTTTAAGCCGTTGTCAAGGAACTTACGACGTGTTCAACAAATCGCAACTTTCATGAAAAGGATCATACGACGCGTCGCGAGTTGCGACGTGTTACACAGCGCTTCGTGAAATCGGGTGCTGGCACGGATACTCCATTCGTCATGATTCCTCATGCATGCATCTAGCTCATTTGTCTCTTCCACCCATGTATCTCTCTTCAGTACATTGATGTATAATGCCTTTGGTCTGCCTGTATGTCTTCTCCATGAGTCGGCTGCCAGAGTATTAGCTGGCTCGTGGGTAGCTCAGGATGACGGAGGCAGTGTCCTGCTAATTCCATCCTTCTGTAGGCAATTTTGTCCCCAACCTTAGGGAGCTCCCCATACAGATCTGTGTTATTAATATGATCTCTCCAGTTGATGTTGAGTACAGCTCTCAGCATATGAGTATAGGTGCCGTTGAGTGACTTCTCCAGGACAGATGTAAAGTCCATGTTTCGCACCCATAGAGCAGTACCGATTCAACTGTGGCTAGGAAAAAGCTCAGCTTTACCTGTCTTGTTATGTTGGCGTTCCACACACTTTTCGTTTTGTTGAGGGCTGTCTTGGCTAGGGCTTTCCTGATCTTGATATCACCCTGAGTGGAGTTCACCCAAAAGACTAGATATTTGATGTCTGTTACTTCCTTGGGATCAACAAAGGATTGATCCATTGCTTTAAATCCACTAGCAGTTGTTGGAAGAAACAGACCACTATGAACGTGAGTAAAGCTGTTTGGCTTTGCTTTATGGTTGAACAAACTCGAATCAAACTTGAATCAAACTTTTTCTAGCAGGTCTGTTTAAGTTGTAAGAAGTTCAAGTTTACGTTTGTTGACCACTCTTAATGCTGTGACTTAATTATGACTTTTCTCCATGATTCAGATTTTGTTATTTAATGGTAACACTGAACATTTTCATATTACACGGTCTTAGCCCATACCCAGTGCATTGTACGTTCGCATTCTATTGCATTTATAGGCCATTGCACGTCCCCTGTTATCCTTCAGCGTCGTGGTATATCCTTGAGAACTAAGCAAACATACTGTATATCATGTCTGGCACATACTGTATATGATGTCTGGCACCAGAGTCTGAGTCACGAGTCACTTTTCTTTAGTTGTTCACCAATCTAATCTATTTTTTGTGTGTATTATTTTTCAATCATCCCGTCTGTCCCAGTAAATCCCAGTGTATATGGTTTACTTTGTGTGTGTACCTTGTGTGTGACCCAAAATTCCATTTTAGTACCGGACACTTTTTGGCATGACATCGGGCTCTGGTGCTCGTTGTGCAGGCACTAGGCGAGCGTGCACGGCCCTGGATACGATTTTCCACGGCGCCGTGTTTTGTCTATGGAGTACAAAAGAATGCTACGTTCATCGCACAAATACGTAACGTTATGTTTTTTCTTTTGATAAAAATATGTGACTTGAGTCACGAGTCACAAAGCTCAAATCTGAGTCATCATGGTCGAGTCCAAGTCCAAGTGATTTTTACCCTTCAGCCGAGAGGCTCGAGGGGTATTGTCATCGCCTAGGGCGTCCGTCCGTCCGTATGTCGTACCGTTCTGACCATACCCCCCTTGTGGGTGATGTTCCTTTCAGGACACATCACCCCACTATTTTCACAATAGAAAAACATCACCCAAGAAGAGAATCTTTAGAAAAAGGGATAATGGGAACACAATGCTATCACCCCACAATTCCGTCTGGCTAGACCGGCCGTCCGTCCGTCCGTCCGTCCGGGCAGCTTAGTTTCCGGATGATAACTTGAGTTAGAAATGTTGTTTGAGATTGTAACTTCGGTACGGGGTTGCCCTTGGGAGTAGGCAAGTTGGGATTGGTTTTTAGGTCAAAAGGTCAAAGGTCAAGGTCACCGTGGTGAGTTAAAGGTAAATGGTTTCCGGATGATAACTTGAGTTAGAAATGAGATTTTGGTGTCTTACTTTGGTAGGGGGTTGCCCTTGGGAGTAGGCAAGTTGGGATTGGTTTTTGGGTCAAAAGATCAAAGGTCAAGGTCACCACAGTGAGTTAAAGGTACATGTAGATGGTTTCCAGATGATAACTTGAGTTAGAAATCACATTTTGCTGTCTAACTTCGGTAGGGGGTTGCCCTTGGGTACAGGCAAGTTGGGATTAGTTTTGGGGTCAAAAGGTCAAAGGTCAAGGTCACCACGGTGAGTTAAAGGTAGATGGTTTCCGGATGATAACTTGAGTTGGAAATGAGATTTTGGTGTCTTACTTAAGTAGGGGGTTGCCCTTGGGTACCTAGGCAAGTTGGGATTGGTTCTGGGGTCAAAGGTCAAAGTCACCATGTTGAGTTAAAGGTTAATGGTTTCCGGATGATACCTTGACTCTGGCTGAGGGGTTTCAACAGCAACGCTGTTATTTTCCAATGTGACTCGAGTTGAGTCCGAGTCACGAAAAATGTGGCTCGAGTCCGACTCGAGTTGGAGTCCTGGACTTCAGTCCTACAACACTGATGGAACTCACAGTTGTCAACCAAGCAACCAAGAGCAGTACTTGGTACCATCGCGCGATTTGCGCCCGCATGCAGACGCAACACTAAGCAGGGTATACTCGCACATAATATTTTAAGATGTACCGGTATGTAACTTCATGTATCAATTATCAATCATATTATTCCAGATTCGTGTACTGAGCATTTTCGACCACCCAAACATCATTAGCTACTATGACAGTTTTGAAGAAGATGGAACGCTTATGATAGAAATGGAATATGCAGATGGAGGGTGAGTACTTGCATTTCTTCATTGTAAATTAAATCCATAATACTTTTTCTCTAAGTGTATAAATGAAAACAAATTTGTGTAAGGATGGTGGTCTTTCACAAGTCCATGTAGAGTAAAATTTCTCTACAATGAACATGACACAGAGTTGTAATGACTCAAGTCAGTGTCGAGTCCAACTCGAGTCACAATTTTTGGTGAATCAACTCGACTTGAGTCCCTAAGGGAAAATGACTCGAATCAACTCGAGTCACTGCAAGCAAATGGCTCGACTCGACTTGACTCAAGTCCAGGGTTCGAAATTAGCGGTAGCCCGGTAGCCAAATGCTAGTCAAAACGGCAGCGGGCTAGTCAAACTATTCTACAGTAGCCCAGCTGGCGAGTCAAAAAATTATTGGGATACTGCAAAGATGAAAGGACAGGAAAAAATAAATCATGAAATTCAGAAAGCAAATCAGCATCAATTTGTGTATAATTTAACAACTGTTTGAAAGGGTTAAATTATTAGATCTGTTTTTTGAAAACACTGACAAAATTGCCTCAGAATAGATGAGAAATCAGTTCGAAATGGGTAAAAAGAACTTTACTTACAACCTTTACATCCAGATCCTGTCTCCTTGTTCGATCACGTCTGTTTTCACATCGCGTACTTGCGTGAGAACGAAAATGATAACGACGCGAAGATTTACCTACCTACATCCAATGAATTTTATATTTATTCAGGCTCGTTTGGATCACGTTTTAATACAGGTCTTATCAACGGTCATTTTAGATTTGTTTGTAAATGAAAATAAATCCTTCAAGTTTATTCAAAACAATTGTCCGTCTTAAAAGACATTTTAGTCATCTGTTTAAGTTTAAGTTTTTACCCAATGACCGCCACAAAATAATTTTCATAAATTGTCATGCTTAAACGAGTGATCGAGTTCCACGAGTCCACGCAGAGGTTTTGGGAAGTGAGAGGTCTATTTTTGGCTAGGCTTGGACGGTATTTCGGTAGTACCGGATAGTCAAGGTTTTTTTTAATAACCGACTAACACCGACTAATGATTCATGAATACCGAAACACAGGTGAACTCGGTGTGGAATTTCAATACCGCGGTATTCTTCCTAGTGTTCAGAATCTTCGCAAAAGCCTTTCAAACAGAAAGACAAGCAACCTCTTTGACATGTTTGATTCCATTCTTTGTGGTTTCAGGCATCCAGTTTCATGTCCGCATTGTCAATTACCGTTGACAGATTGAACACAATTGTCAAGCTCGACTAGAAAACCTGATACTTCGGCAGCTGCAATACCACAAAGGCCTTTGAAGTTCTGCTAACGCCGCCGTGTTTGCGGTTTTCTTTGTGTGTAAAGTGTCTCCGCTGAAAGTTCAAACAATGTTTTACACGTGGGAATCTTTTGACGGTTGTGATAAAAACTGGTCGTCTTAATTGTTTCTCCGTGGTTGTTTCAGAGAAATCTTACATCATCATGCGTAATTTTTGCCACAACATAGTTCCCAAGAATATCAGCAACAAGAAAAAAAACCGTGTCAATCTTGGTTATATGACTGCCAAAACTTGCAGGCTTCAGTCTAGTGCTATATGCGTGCGCTCGGAACAATTTTTTTTCATTCATGTTTCGGTTCGATTGGTCCGTTAGTTATTCATCGGTACCGACGTTCAAAGGGAAGGGCCTCGCCTGAATATGCCGAGTGTCCAGATAAAAATCCAGAAAAGAAAATACTCCAAAAGAAAGCGTAATACAAGAACCATGATTTCTCACCCGTGGGAAAACCCCCCGTAATGCCCGCACAATCACACGTAAAGCTACGCCCGTCCTGCTAGGCCCACAAGCACAATTGCACGTGCTTTTTCCCACGCACTGTGTAGATCAAGCTGATTGGCAATCTAAAACGGCGCTCGAAACATTTTCCATTCATGTTTTGGAATGATTGGTCCGTTCGTTATGAAGGTCGCGGCACCGACAACTTCATACACAACGTATTACAGCGTCCACAATTGCGCATGCGTAATATTGTGATGTTTACTATTATCAATCACGGACCGATCATGTGAGAAGGAGTACGATATTTTTTGTAGGAGTTTGATTTTCACATGACACCGGCGAAGCGCGTAAGGAGTCGCTGGTGGCCGGCATAAATTGCATGAGCCTTTTGAGTCACTCACAATGGATACCAACTGAAAAGCATACGTTCGCTAGGATCTGGGGATCATCGCGTGGTCGGCCTCTGGCATCGGTCGACGATCTGCATTATTTTTTAGTGGACCTTGTCAAGTCAATGACTTACAAATTCAAAAAATGCAATACCACAAAAAGTAAGCTTCCCGTGTTTAATAATCTGTTAGTGTAACAATGATATGTTGTTTTTACAAACAAATGGACTGATAATGAAAGTTTGAAACAAGACACTTTTAGTGTAGGAGATTTGCGGCGTGAAGCATTTGCGTGATTTATGCTGCGCCGGCGGCTTATCAACTCGGCACGTGGTGCCTGGTGGTTAGTTATTTTTTCTTCTGATAATGACGTGACTAATACCCCACTTAACATAATACCGCGGTTTTAGTGAATACCGCGTTTTTTTTGTCACTGGATACCGCGGTATAGTAAATGCAATACTGTCCCAAGCCTATTTTGGCACGATATTTTCTTTCACGTCATGCGATTTTTCAGTTTCCATTTCCATTTCTTAAGAAATCAATATACCAAAACTAATTTTAAAAACTCTGACTTTTACACGTTAATTTTTCTTTTCCGAGGGGCCCTGAAGCGCGACACCAGGGGTCAACTTTCAGGCTCTATGCACATTTTACATGTTTGGACATTGTTGTTAATGAGACACTCTATTAAAAAAAACAACATGCCAGCTAGTGAAAATACCTGCGGGCTAGTTAAGAGCCTGTTTCAGTAGCCCGGCTGGCCAGTGAAAAAAAAGTTAAGGTCAAACCCTGGAGTTCCTCATCATAATGACTCGACTGGACTCGAGGAAGGCTAATAAGACTCGAGTCCCAAAAATAAAAGCAGCTTTGCGAAAAATATTTGCAATGACTTACGCCGGTGCCGGTTTTTGTTCGCGTCAAGTTAGAATGGTCGTGAATAATGTTTATATGTGGTTTGATCAGTATTCCCATTAGTTGAATGGCGATCAGCTGGCACCCCCTTTTTTATTTTCATTAAGAGTCAAATAAGGTGTCACCACATGTAGTAGCCCAAACGAAAATAAAAAAGTCAAAAAATGACTTTCTCTCTTGTGATTATTTATTGTATAGTGTTCAAATATTTGTGACTTGATTCGACTCAGCTACACACTTGACTCGACACGACTCGACTCGACTACACACTGTGACTAGACACAACTTGACTTGACCTTCTTAATTTAATGACTCGACTTGATTTGAGTTACTTCTTTAAAATGACTAAACTCGACTCGATTCACAAAAATCAGTGACTCGTTACAACTCTGACATGACAGGGTCCAGAAATGATTGTTCAGTATAGCAGTAATCATTCATTACAACCATTTTCAGCCACTGGCATGCTACTCTAAGTTGCAATGACAGCATTCATATACACTGTACATGTAGGGTGGGAGCCCATAACTTTTATTCAAAAGCTTCAGAATCAACCTCAAAGTCTGAAAGGGTTTTCCAACGTCATTACAGAAAGGAATTTCTGCCGGGTCAGGGTTGTGGTCTCTTCATTGTACTAGTCAGGCATTAAATTGCATTAGCACCCGCTACGCTTTTTGAAATAAGCGCTATGCTTAAATCGTGCTGCTATGCTACTGCTAGGCTATAAATTTTGCTTACGGAAAAAACATTTGCTTCCGTTTGTTCATAATCGTATAAGTGCGGCGACCTCACGACCTCCCCCCGCACCTTATACGACATGGGTACCGTGATGCCATTCATACGAACCAGTGTTGGAGCAAAGGCTTTGACCCTCAAGGCCAAGGCCAAGGCCAAGGCTTTGACCCTCAAGGCCAAGGCTAAGGCCAAGGCTTTGACCCTCAAGCCTCGAGGCCAAGGCCAAGGCTTAACCCTCAAGGCCAAGGCCAAGGCCCTGTTTTATGAAATGACCACTGATATAGAACTAATTATAGTCACATGAGTGACACATCATCACGCAAGGGTGGATCCAGAACACAATTTGGGGGGGGGGGGGGCAAAGAAATTTTGGTCCCCCCCAAAAAAAGTGGGTCAAAAAATCACGGCTTGGGCTTCGGGGCCGATTTAAGGGCCCCGAAAAAGTTTTGGATCCGAGATGCTCTGTGGTGCGATTTGAGGCAATTTCTGACCATTTTAACCGATGTTTTTTGAGGAAAAGATGGTGGTGTACTCATTGCCTGCCTTTATTACGACGTCACATAAAAAAAAAATGGTTTCGTTTTTTTTGGGGGGGGGGCGGGGCATGGCCCCTTTTGGCCCCCCTGGATCCGCCCTTATCATCACGAATTGCTCGTTACGAAGAACAACATTTCTTTCATTGCAATTAACATGCTCGCATAGGCCTACACCGTTTTATGACTGCACTGTATCTATTAAAGTATAAGTTCAGGTCTTCAATATGGTTTAACTAAACAAAATAATGATTTACTTCTATATTGACACACAATTCTCCCAAGTGTAACAAAAGGGGGATCCAAGAAACTGATTTGGGAAATTTTTATTTGCTGGCCCAACATGGTAAGAAATATCAGCATTATCTAAAACAGATACATGCAAATGTTTAGCACTTATCAGGGAGACATATAAAACCAATCAGATCTATTCCATAGTTATATGCAATTAAAGTGATCATCTCATTAGCCCCACAAGTGTACGGAATATTTTTGCAGCAAATTTACTACAATGGTAACAAAATGTGATGCTACAAAAGTGGAAGTGTGCCCAACACACAAATCTATAGGGTGCTTCCCTCCTCCATGGTAATACGATTAAAATGGTAACAGCAAAATTTCAAACAGATTTATCTGGAAAATGCAAAAATCTATGGGCCTTGAAGAGCCTTGACTCAAAATTGCAAGGCCCTGAACCCTCAAGGCCAAGGCCAAGGCCAAGGCTTTTGCCCTCAAGCCTCGAGGCCAAGGCCAAGGCCCTAAAATCCAGCCTTAAGGCAGCCTTAAGGCCAAGGCCCAGCATCAAGGCGCTACATCACTGATACGAACATTATGCGTTTACAAGTAATAATTCCCTACGAAAGCATGTGCTGTGTTATGCTGCTGTGTAGTTCCATAGAGAAATGACCAAAGAAGTTCCAGCGATACGTACGTGTCACATATCCGCTCTGTGGACTGGACCACACCATTTGCGGTACTGGTTGTGCTTTCTTAAGAACAATTTACCAGCATTTCCACTGTTTAATTTGGAATAACAAACTTTTTATGGAGTCTGAAACATTTCCTTCGCAAATTAATTTCTTCAACGGCACAGTGTAATTTTCATAAAGAATTTATTCGAGAAATGTTAAAGCACCTCTTACGATATCAATGGATCTGTCCATAAAAATTACCTCAACGTGCTGAATCGCAAAGTAGCATTCTGACGGTTACTTGCTTGTTGCTAATAGCAATTTGATAAGTTTGGTAGTTAAAAGGGACCTGTTTGTTCTTAGGACAAAGCCAATCAGAAACTAGAGGTTGTATTAACAGCCACACGGTGTTGGGCCATGGATTACGGCAGACTTTGCCACACACATCAACTCAAAATATGCATGGTCAAATCCATGTTTGAATTTTTCAACATGCCGCCAGAGGGCGCTCTAACATTTGATGACGTCACCTGTAAAATGTTTGTACAGTACTACCTAGGCAGACACTCACATCGTTGAAAGCAAGTTCGCATCTTCTGCCAATTTCAAATAATAAGGCACTTCCAGTTTCGACCGGAAGGAAGGGTCACGTGATTTTGCACTTAATACCAAAAATGAAGACCCTGCAATATTGTATCGATTGCCATAAAAAACAAAATCAAATCTGTAGCAGTTGATTAGCTGTTCCCAATTTCAATTGGGAACAGCTCTTGTTTTCGTTTAAGTTTTTTTTTTTCCTTTTTTTTCTTTTTTTTTCTTTTTCCACTTTTCCCATAGGTTTTGTACACGTTTTTATTCTACAAGCCACTTTGGCAATTATTTTAAGTCCGATCAACTTTAAACTCAGCATAGTTATTAACCATCATCTGAAGATATATGCCGAAACTTTTCGTCATGCTGACGTCATCACCTGATTTATTATGGAATTTTGAATATTTAATTTTTCCCATAGACTTTGTACACAGAAATTTAAAAAAAAATGTCGATTTTCAGAGGGCATTTTCAACTCTTTGCCAGTAATTTATTTACACCAATCTTTGTCCAAGCAAAGACCCTAATTCAAACAACATTGTGTAATGATGACGTCATGATGACGTCATCCGGTGTTTATTTATAGGCAATTAAATTGTGACACTTTTAATATTTAAAAATGCATAAGAAATCAACCGTACGCGTCCGCAGCATTCTGTTGCCGGCAAGTGGTAGAGTAGATTAAGGTCTTTATTTCATTCAGTGTGCGTGAAATCACGTGACCCTTGCTTCCGGTCGAAAAAGGCCAAAACCGGAAGTGGCTTATTATTTGAAAGTGGTAATAGATATGAACTTGCTTTCAACGGTGTTAGTCTCTTGGCTGATAGTATTCTTCAAATTATCTACCGATGACGTCATGCAATCTTCGAGCGCCCTCTAGCGACAGGTTGAAAATTTTCAAAAATGTATTTTGAATAGATGTCTGTGGCGAAGTTTGTCGGAATCGCCTAAATATTGGTGTATATGATGACCTTGACCCACTTAAGACGTGTGCGAAGTTTAAGGTGTATGACGTCATTAGACCGGAAGTTATAATGAAAAGACCCTTTTTCCTTAGAAAATTCCTGAAAAATCAACCATGGCAGTTTTTATATTAGTTTTTACTTTAATTGTCTATTTAAGGGTAGGTCTAAAACAGCAAATACGCAAATAAGGCAATAAGCAAACTCGGACATGCCCTGCGCACGCTTAAAACTTCAGGTTGACAAAACCTCTGCTTTGAAACATGCACAGGACGTCCACAATGTACAGTACATGTACATGCACGTACATTGTACATATCGTATGTCAGTCAGCCCGTGCACAGCGCACTTGTTGCTTAGGTCATATCCTGTCCACAGTGACCGTTTTAGCGGATTTCCGGCTAACTTTGACAGATTTTGTGTTCATGCATAGTCAGGGACGTATTATTGATAAAAAAAATCATAATGCGGAAAAGCCCTATCTTCTGTTGCAAACAGACATAGATCTCTACTTATATGTCTATGGGTCCAACAGATAATCAATATTGGGAACAGCTCTGTGGTTGTTCACAACCACAATTTCTAGTTTTATATTGATTTTCAAAGATTAAATCTAGAAATCTTTGATTGCTTGTAATATGATACTTGATGACGTCATTGTGACGTCATTACCAGAAAGTTCAAGAGCTATTTTAACTGTGCTATATACAGCCAAATCTTGATTATATCTATCACGGTTGATTTTTTAGCAATTTTTGAAGGTTTAAAGGTCTTTTTATTGTAACTTCCGGTCTGATGACGTAATCCATTTTTTTTCGCGCACAGGTGTTGTCTGCATTATGGTCATCATGTACATTAATTTTGAAGCGATTACCGCAAACTTCGCCACAGACATCAAGTGAAAATGCGTTTTTCGCGTTTTTTAACCTGCCGCTAGAGGGCGCTCCAACTCTTCATGACGTCACCAATTATTTTTTTTGAAAGGTCAATCCAGGCAGACATCAACACCGTTGAAAGCAAGTTCATATCTTTTTCCACTTTCGAATTATTAGGCACTTCCGGTTTCGACCGGAAGGAAGGGTCACGTGATTTTACGCGCACAAGATAAAATGAAGATCATATATTATCATGTCGATTCCCGCAAAATTTAAGTTGTGGTCTCTGACGGTTGATTTTATATTGAATTTCAAAGATTAAATTGATTATTTTTTGAAGTGACGTCACGTGACCCATGATGACGTCATGATGACGTAATTGCAAAAAAGCACATCTTCAGTTGGTTGTGCATTCATGTATTGACAATTGAAGTTCATATATGTTTTCATTTTGACAAACAGTTCCGGAGAAGAATGTGTCTAGAAGAATAATAAAAAAAATAGTAAATTCTTACAATAACAATAGGTGTTGGGCTGAGGCCCAACACCTAATTATTGCCAGAAAGTAATATTTCTTTAGCGCTCAAGGCATGCGTTGCTTTCTCAAATGCTGTGGGAAAATTTTGTCGTAGTTCACTGGCGCGGACAGGCTCTTGACCAATAGGAATGGGCAGGGTTGGCTGATTTAAATCACGTTGATTTAAATCACTGATTTAAATCGCGATTTAAATCAAATGATTTTTTTAAAATAAAAATCACTGATTTAAATCACTTTTTTGTAAAAATCATATTTTTGGCAAAATCAATTGATTGAGGGTCATTTTAATCATTTAAATCAGCTGATTCCACTTAATTACAAAGTGTAAGATGTTGTTAACACATTCAACATGTTCAAACACCCCTACTTCGTCACCATCAACTAAATTTAGGTTTTGCATAATTGCACAACTGAATTTGTTGTTTTGATTAAGTCAAGATCTGAGTTCAAAAGTTTTTCTTCAAAGTTTTTAATTTTAGAGAGAGCACACTCACGTTTGCTTTAATCATTCTTTGATCTGTTTACAGTAATATTGTGAATCAACTGTGCTGATGTAGGCTTACATGAACCATCAAAAGGTGTATTAAGTCCCAATTGATAGTCTTATTCCTAACGTTTCTCCCTACAAATTTAGATTGAGATTTATATAAACCTTTTAAAGGTGCGAGGCCTGATTTCTGTTCTCCACCTTGGACCATCAATCAAACACTAGCATGGGCGTCGCGAGGGGGGGGCAAGGGGGGGCACTTGCCCCCCCCCTGGAAAAGCAAAAAAAAAAAAAAAAAAAAAAAGGAAGAAAAAAAAAGGAAAAAAGAAAAAGAAAAAGAGGCGCGACGACAAAGTGGTGTAAATTTAATGAGTTGGGGGGGGGGGCAAAATGTCCCTGCCCCCTCTTAAACTGATAAATCGAGAATGTGTTGAGAAATACACGCATTTTTGGGCAAAATTTTTTTTTGCCCCCCTCTAGAAAAAATCCTGGCGACGCCCATGAACACTAGGCCCTATAAGTTTCACAAGGATCAGTGCCGCCGGTTTTGAAATTAGAAGCATTTTTATGAAATTAACATGCCCATGGAGAACTGTCATATTTTTTTTGTATACCATGTACTGGTACCATAAATCAATTTTTCATTCATATCTACACACAACGTATCTCAGCTGTATCTCAATCAAGCAATGCACCTTTAAAGTGTCTTCAGTATTAATGTACCATTGAACCAATGATGTAGACAACATGTAGAAGAAATCAAGTGATTTTTTTTTAAATCACTGATTCAATACAATTTTTTTCAAAAGCAATTTATTGAATTTTGTGGATGATGGGTATTATAGGAACCTGTAAACTCTTTTGTGATGGGTGTGAGGGTGCATGGGGAGATGTAGACACATGTTTAGACAAATCAATATTTTGAAAGTTAAACAAATCTAAAAAAAATTGATTTAAATCAAATAAATCTGATTTTTAATTTTTTTTTTTTTAAATCGCCAACCCTGGGAATGGGACAACTGTCTTTGGTGTTTATGAATGGAACTTGAAAATAGTGCAATCATACTAAGTGAGTGTTTCACTCAAGTTGCAGACGCTGTAAAATGTCATCATCACCATTATTTCCCCAGAACATTACAGCAGTACTTGAACAGTTTGCAAGGAAAGAGAGAATTAGAAGAAAGAGAGATCCTCATCATGTTTCAGCAAATGGTTGCAGGTGTGAAGCACATCCATGACCACAATATTCTTCACAGGTAATCTCCTCATTCATGTACTTCATGTTTCATGTTTGACAATAAAAAAAAATCTTTGGCTTGTGTTTTCAACAGTTTGTATTTTCTTTTGGTACAAGTACACGTGTGTAAAAGAACAGACAGGGTTAGTCAGGAAATAATAATCAGCCTTTTGTTGTTCCAACTTCAACTCTGTTTGAACTAAATAATTTTGAGTCTGGAAAAACGACTGGTAATTATGCAAACCAACTTATGAATACTTGTATGCAAATCAATAGACATTATCATTTGTTTACAAAATTTTGCCCATTTCTAGAGGAAATTTGTTGTGGTGGTTGTTGAACATAAAAAGCATCCAAAAACATAGTGTGGAAAAGCCTTATGTTCTATTCCTGGAACACACATAGATCTAGTTTTGTCATGTTTTAAGTATAAACAATACGAAATCTTAGAAAATGATGCCTGGTGACTGGTGACTATTCAATTAGAATGAAAAAAAAGGCAATTGTGCCAAATAACGTGTCCATTGAATAGCGAGTATCGGTAAAAGCCATTTATGTACATACATGTAGGTGTAGATGACATCACTGTAGAAAAATCAGGAAAATTGTTCAACAAGATTTCTGGATACCTTACATTTTTATCCATTCCCTTGAGATTGGACTTACGGGAATCTACTGTAGATTCAATTCTCATTGCACTTCTGGTAATACCAGAAAGGGATGATCCTCAATTCGCATTACTCTGATGCAATAGTGTATTTTAGAACAATAGCCACCCTTCCTTGGTATCCATCCGTCGACTGAAATCGATAGACATTGATGTTTTCCACTGAGATCTGGCATCAGCATTCTCTCAAGTCGACCTGGAGACTGCCCATCTTGAATCCTACGTTGACAAATACCAGTCAATACTTGGTGACCTGCTTGACAATTATGCTCCTGTTCGTACACGACTTGTGAGAGTATGAACAAACAGTCCATGGTTCAATGAGGAAATGCATGCTGCTTGACACATCCGGCGGCAACTGGAATGGAGATGGCAAAGTTCAAAGCTTGAGGTTCATTGGCAGAAGTATTGTGCCCAGAGACGCATTGACTGAGTTTATAAATAAAGCTAAAATAGTCTATTATTCTTCTCAAATCAATTGGTGTTATAGGGATCAGAGAAAAATATTTTGCATTGTAAATCGCTTTATACAGATCTAGCGAAACAATCCTCAGATTTTTTTGTTATCAAATTTGTCATCATCCGTAATATTCTGTCTAGCAAATTTGAAGTTAGAATGTGAATTTTGAACTCCTGCCAAATGTAGTAATCTTGACCCTGTTCTGACTGTATTGATCAAAGATTACTTTGATGAGATTGTTCCATACATCACCAACATGGTTAACAAGTCTTTCAATACTGGTACATTTCCTCTCAAAATATCTTGCATTTGTTCTCTGTTAAAGAAAGTTGGCCTGGACAAAGACACTCTCGAGAATTTCTGACCTGTTTCCAGTCTAGCATTTTTGGGCAAAACAATTAGAAAGAATTGTGTTCTCTAGACTGTCTGCAAATATGCATAACAATGATCTCTTAGATTCTTTTCAATCTGCTTCTCGACCCAATCACAGCACAGAAATAGCACTTGAGCGCATTCAGAACGTCATGCTAAATGCGGTAGATCAGCAAAAAATCACTGCTCTGATCCTCCTTGATTTAAGTGCTGCTTTCGATACAGTGGACCACACCATACTGCTGTCTAGACTGCATGACATCGTTTGCCTGCTCTTCAGTGGTGCCAGGCATATGAGAGTAGGCAGCAGTACGTGCGTGTTGGTAAAGCAACATCCGATCCTGTTTCTGATGACTTTTTTGTTCTACAAGGTTCAGTTCTTGGACCACAATTGTTCACTCTATACATACATGTATATCCACTCAAAGAAATCATCCTGCATCACAATTTAAAATACTATTTCTATGCTGATGATACACAATTATATTTCAATAATCCGTCACAACAGCATGCCGATACAAGTATCACCTGCATAGAGACCTGCATTTCTGAAGTTCGTCAATGGATGCAGCTAAAGCTAAATAATGACCAAACGAAATTTCTATTGACTGGTTCTCCACAACAATTATCTGATGTCACTGTCCCCTTCATACAAAAAGGCGATTCTAATATTTCTCTAGTTAACCGAGCCCGTAATCTAGGCGTCATTTTGACACCTCGATGTCATTCAAAAGTCATATCTCTTATGTCATTTGTTCAACTTCATTTCACATGTGTAACATTGGAAAAATCAGGAAATACCTTGACCGCAGCTCTATTGAACAACTTGTTCATGCTTTTGTCACATCTCGGCTCGAAATGGAAAATTCACTCTTGTTCGGCCTCCCACAAGAACAACTCACGAATACTGCGGCATGTGTGGTTACACAAACTAAAAACATTTTCACATCACACCCATCGTCGATTCTTTACTGAGAGGCAACAATTTTCTCACAGAGGGGTAAGTTCAGGCACAAAACGGTGGACACAGCTCCCCAATGATATTCAGAGTTTTGGGTCGGTTCGGGTCTGTTTTTGCTTGTTTTTTGTAAGGTCGAGTCTGGTCAGATTTGGAGAGTTCAGATTGGTTTCTGTTCGAATTTGGTGTATATCTATAATTTTTCAGGTCGGTTTGGCCTGGTCAACCAGACCCGATTTACAATGATATTACCGTCTGGTAGTCCCATAGGTAAAGGTCAGGCGACTTCGCAATCACAAAAAAAAACGGTTATCAATCAATGATCTATGTGATTAGAAAGTATGAACATCAAAAGTTACAAGCAAAAGAAGTTGGTCACTTTTTTCAACTTGAATCAGTTATTATTTGACAGCTGGTGATGTCATCAGGATGTCATCATGATGTCAGATGAATATGCACACCTTGGGATCAGCCGATCAGGCTTGATCTTTGTTCCATGTTTTATGTTTACACCATGTAGAAGAAAAGTCGTTGAGGATTATCGTCCAGAAAAAAGAAACATAGAAAGAAAGAACAATTTCAAAATGGTGGTGGAGTTGAGCCCAATCATCCAATAACGCAAAGCTTAACCATCTATTTTTGGAAGGGTGGTTTCTTGTATTAACAGATTTTCTTAAATACCATGAAAAATTATGATAAGGTTGATTTAAACGAAACATGGTATTATGATTGTCTTAAATCAATGTCATTATGATGAATTATTGAGAAATTGTCAGAGTATTAACTAAAGTACATGTACCAGTATTTGTTGAAACTGTCTGATTCAGATGTGTTATATTACTAGCATAGGAATTGTTCCTATTACAAATAATCATTTTTGTTCTGTTTCTGTAGAGATTTGAAAACTGCAAATGTCTTTTTAACCAAGGAAGGCACGGTCAAGATTGGGGATTTTGGAATATCAAAAGTCATGTCCTCGAATAATCGCGGTGCTAGCACAGTGCTTGGAACGCCTTACTACATTTCACCAGAGATCGTGAGTACAGATCTATATATAAACTTTATTATATTTAATGCTCTTGTATGAGACTGTATGAAACTGTATGAGAGGTGGGTCTTGTTAACACAATAGTGGAACCTCTTGTAATTATATGTACATGTATACATGTACATTTCCACAATCTTCTGACCTTTTCATAACATCCTTATGTTTATTGACGCTAAAAACAGGAAGTTTAGCGACACTGCTGTGGAGTCCCATAATGTCGTGCACTTTCATGTTTTCCCTTAATGTCCTCATGCAGTGTTGTCAAACTTCTTTGTTGACAAGCTTCAAATTAATTATATTAAATACTGGTACTTAATTTCTGAAAATTGCTTGCTGTTAAACACTTGTGTATATTTTTTGTCTGGAAATTTTCTATGTATTTTTAGGCATTTGTAATTTTTATGCTGATGTATTTTAATTCTGATTTTTATTTTAAAGTGACTGTAATTCAGCCTACAGTTGCAAATTCTTTAGATAAACCATTAGTAATTGAAGAGTTAAGAAGAGAAATTGGCCGCCTGTCCGCGATGCGTGCGGGTACAGTCCGTCAAACTTAATGTGACGCAAAGAGGCAGCTGCAGAAAAAGCATGACTTAACAACACCTGACAAGATTAATGCTGCCCTTGAGGGAAAGAAGATGCGAGTGCAGGCTCTTGCACAGAGAATCAGAAGGTACGAAGAACAAAATCTTCAATACCCACAAAACAAACAATTTCAAATTGATGCAAGAGCTTTCTACCGATCACTTAATGCGAAAAATTGATCATCATCTACGAGAGAATGACATCATGGCCGAAGAGCAAGAAGATTGCAGAAAAGGGGCAATGGGGGCAAAGAACGGTTGTTGATTGATCAGTGCTGCAGGATGCCTATGCCCGACATGCAAACCTTTCAGTGGCATGGATCGACTATCAAAAGCTGGAAAATTGAATCGTTGCAGCTATACCAAGTGCACGACCAGATTGTGAACTTCCTTGCCACTGCACTATCTAGCTGACACCCAGATGTACATCAGGGGAAAGATAACCAGGTGACCACACAGGAGATTCAAATCAACCGAGGAATCCTTCAAGGGGATTTCTGTCGCCTCTCCTGTTTTGCATTGCCCTGAACCCACTCAGCAGGGAGTTACAGCGGCTGCAAATTGGATACAGTGTGGGTACAGGAGCGGCTACACCTGAGAAAACTGTCTGTCATCTCCTGTACATGGATGACCTAAAAATCTATGCAAAGAGTGACAGGCAACTATCCCAAATGCTTGATGTTGTGTCAAACTTCTCATCTGACATTTGCATGAAGTTTGGCACAGAAAAGTGTTCCAAAATGACGATCAAACCTGGCAAGGGAAACACTCTACAGAATACTGCCATCGCTGATAGTGAAGCCATAAGAAACCTTGACCCAGGTGCAACATACTGCTATCTTGGTTTGGAGGAGAATGCGAAGCAGGAAGATGAAATCATGAAAGATCGACCGAGAAAGGAATGTGCTCGACGGGTCCGCCTCGTTTTGGCGATAGAGTTGAACACCAGCTTTGCTGTTCCTGTGCTGCTATACAGCTTTGGTGTTATAAGCTGGCGGATAGATGAGATACGGCTTTTGGACAGGGTGACAAGAAAACTCTTGACTGCACCATCCAAGGGCAGCAGTGGAATGACTCTACCGGTACCTCCTGCGTAGGAATGGTGGACGGGAATTCCTACAGTTAGAAGGAATGCATAGCCGAGCTGTAATAGCCTCGGGAAGTAACATCGAAGAGAGTAATGGTTGTCTTCTCCGTGTCTTAAAAAAATTCCACCATGACAGCAGGCCCATCCACTCTGTTACCAAACAGGCGATTGCAATCTGCTAGAAAGCTGATATTGGCGCCTTCTGTTCTTCATCAAAACTTGAGTACCGTCAGCATCATACAGAACAGATGAAGGATAGGTGGAAAGCCAAACCACTCTGTGGGCAACACTGCAGAGTAGCTGAAGGAGTCCATGCAGCTACAGAATCATCATACCAAAGGCTTTGGTATGGGCAACTGAAGCCGGAAACAGAAGGAATGACAGTGGCGATCCAGGACCAAGTCATTCGCACACACTCGTATGAAAAGAACATCCTAATACTGCAAGTGGCTGGAAGGTGCTGAATGTGTTGAGAGTGAGGAAACGATCAACCATGTTATCAGCGGATGTGGCGTCCATCATCTGTTAGTAATTGTGTCACCAGACAGGTATCAACGCTGCACGCAGATGGTACGAGCACACTCCTCTGCCAGTTGCAGAAAATGATGTCATAAAGCTGCTGTGGGATCAGCCAGTACAAACAGATCATACTAGCATGGCTAACAAACCTGATATCGTTGCCATAGACAAACAACAACGTGAGGCTAAAATCATCAATGTCAGCATTCCTGCAGACGGCAACATCAGAAGGAAGTTTGCCAAGAAATGAGACAAATACTAAGACCTTAGGATGGAGATTCAGAAAATGTGGCATGTCAAGGCCACCATACATCCTGTCATCGGTTCAACTGGTCTCATGCTGAAGGAAACAGTTCAACAGGCTGAACACCTTGGGGTACAGACACACCTTCTCCAACGGATAGTCATCCTCCAAACATGCAACATCACCCGTCGCTTCCTAAACCAAACCATCTAGCTCCTGGTGCATCATCAACTGCGATGGAAACCTACAACGGACAAAGTGGCTAAACTGCTATTCTTTGGACTAATCATAGTCTCGAAAAAGTGTAGTCCACTGGCTGACAAAGCTATGTTAACTAGAAATAATAAGTTTATTAAAAAAAAAAGTATAAAACTTAGCCAAATTTCAAAAATGGTGGCCTCTGGAAAGTTGGCACAGAATCGACCAGGTTTTCCTTTAATAGTGTATTATGAGGTGCACCTGAAATTCACAGAAATTCCCAGGTGAACATTTAAGAGTTTCATAAAAGTTGAAACATTCCAATAAACCATTATTTTCTTCACTTACTTATCCAATTACATATTTGTCAGAAATTTTGTTTCTCATATTAGGGTGCATTTTAAAAGGTTCCTTTTAAAATTAAAATTGGAAAATCGTGCCAAAGAAAAATTTCTCTCTGAAGTTGTAACAGGTAGGTAAATTCAAGGTTTAATGATGAGAATGGGGCTTCATGAAATTAATTTTACTGTGAACATTGAGTTAAAACTTTTGCTGGATAATTAGGCACTATAGGCAAAAATTCAAATTGCGCAGCATTAGGTGACATCAACAATGTCAGGGGAAAATGTGCGAGGAATATGTATCGACAAAGATAAATATCAACCGACAATGAACATACAAATGTAGACCTGCATTCACTTTTCCTTTTGTTCTTAATGTTTTTAAATATCATACCGGTCTGACGTATCATCATATGCATTGTAGATACCGGTACATCAGCAGCTTAGAAACACAACACAGTGCACACTTGCAATATTGATGAGGGAACTGCGTCTGATTCAGACAACTCAGAGTGGTCACATATCTCTGAAGGATTCAGTCTATCCCAGAAATCCCTCTCTCGGTGCAGTGTTGTTCTATGCAAATCATCAACTGCAAACGGCCCTCTTCAACTGACTCAATCAAAAACGTCGAGCAAGATAACAGGAAACAGTGGAGTCAATCGACTCACTTAAACCAAAAAGCCTGGAGAACAGTAAACCAACTTTCTGGTAAATTCAATCACTGTGGAAACTGCCCTTGAGTGTCAATGCCATTGCAAGCAAAGTCGTTTAGAACAGCCTTTTCAGAGATCCTGATCGAGACTTCACCAGAAAAATATCCAATTAAGTCTCCAGTCTCTGGAAATCCAGCACCGTCAACTTGCACCTAACCAGTGACATCACTCCTGAAGAGATGAAGGCAGCACTCACTACTCTGAAGCCTGGCAAAGCTCCGGGTCCTGACTTCATACATACAACAGAAGCAACCCCATCATTGGTCCACAGTTCCCCGAGGAGGTTTCAGACACGGAAGGTCAACAACTGACCAAGTAACGCTTCTCACCCAAGACATCAGGGATGCGTTCGAGAGAAGGGAAAAGGCTGGCGCCTGACACTCAAACTCCTTCGGATGATCCCAGATAAGAACATAGAGAAATTCATTCTGGAAATGATATCGATCCGAAGTTTCATCCTAAAGACCAACGACAGTCAGAGAAGCAGACCAAGACGGCCAAATACTGTGCCTCAGAGGTATCTGTCCTCGCACCGCTATTTAACATCTACCCCCGTAAGTGACCTACTGACAACAGTGTCCAGAAAATATGGTTACGCCAACAAAATCTCGATCATGCTGTCAGATAAGACGTGGCTAACCATCGAGGCCTCACCACGGACATAACATCCATCTCCACATACCGGTACCTTACGCAGTGGAGATTAAAACTGAGTGTCGAGAAAACAGCCGCTTCTGCATTCCACCTGTACAACAAAGAGGCAACCAGAAAAATCAATGTCTCCTGTGAGGGAAGAGTCTTGAAGTTCGACCCCAATCCAACATATCTCGGCGTTAAACTTGACCAAAGCAGTCTGCCAACACATTGACTGCCTGAATAGTGAAATCAGTACTCGATGTGCCATCATCAGGCGACTGGCAGGTGTCAAATGGGGTGCAAACACCACTACACTGCAAACCTCCACACTTGCACTGGTCTTCGCCCCTGCAGACTACTGCACTCCAGTGTGGAGTAGAAGCAAACATACTAAGAAGCTGGATTCAAGCCTCAACACTACGCTCCGCATCATTTCAGGATGCATGCGTCCAACCCCATCAGAATTTCTGCCAGTTCTGGGACAAATTCCACCAGCGAACATCCACAGAGATGCTGCAACCCTAAAACTTGCACTGCTGGATGAAGAACACCTGCTACACACTAAGCTTAAGGGAGCCCGAAGACTCAAGTCTCGCCACCCATTCTCATCTTCAGCCCAAGAGCTACTACAGGATTTTTCCCAAGCAACTATGGCATCCTGGGTTGCAGACAAATGGGAGCAATCATGGCAAGGATCCACTGCATGCCTACATCAGTTCGCACAGGACCACACCAACATCAGCGGAATGGATCTAACATGCAAGGCCTAGACAAAACTAAACCACCTTCGAACTGGCGTGGGGTGCTTCAGAGCCAACATGGCTAGGTCGGGCCTCGCGGACAGTACCCCCTGCAAATGTGGGATTGCAGACCAAACTACAGACCATAGTCTCTCCGATAGCCCCATCTACCATTCTCCACATGGAGCAGATGGTCTAACTAACTTGGACCAGGAGACCTACCAGGAGACCAAATATGGTTGACCCAATGGTTGACTTGGTATCGGTCTTGGTTTGGGCCCTTTGGTCTCTGAATTGATCTGGGAAAGAGTAGCTTCAATGCAAGGGCGGATCCAGGGGGGGGCCAAAGGGGGCCATGGCCCCCCCCAAAACGAAACCAATTTTTTTTTTTTTTTAATGTAACATCGCAATAAGGGCAGGCAATGAGTACACCACCATCTTTTCCTCAAAAAAATATTGGTTTAAAGTGGTCAGAAATTGCCTCAGATCGCACCACAGAGCATCTAGAATCCAAAAAAAATTTCGGGGCCCTTAAGCGGGCCCCGAACCCCACGCCGTAATTTTTTTGACCCACTTTTTTGGGGGGGACCAAATTTTTTTTGGCCCCCCCCTAAAATTGTGTTCTGGATCCGCCCTTGCTTCAATGTGCCATGGTTCACATTAATCATCCCGACGTTAAAGAGGATGGATTGATTGTGACTTTTTGCAGTTAACTATGTACACATCTTTTCTGTCCATGACTTTTGGCATTCATCTTTGGCATACATTCCTCAAAGTTACCAAAGGCGTAGCCCCTAAAGCAAAGTTGTGTGCTGAAGAGTGACGTCATGATTATGTCATCATGGGTCATGTGACATCATCATATTCGAAAGACCTATATCTACAAAACTGTAAGTCTGATTGGGTTGAAACTGGGTATGTACCAGGAGGCCGGAAGGATCCGAGGCCAAGGCCGAGGCCTTGCACTCCGAGGCCAAGGCGAGACCTCCAACACTGACCATATCCACATAACCTGTTGGCCAAATTTGATAATCTTTTGTTTTCTTTTGAAAGGTTGCATCTTAAGAAATCAAAATTTACCATTATTTTTCATGTTGGAGTAATTTGAAGTATGATGACCTTTTGAACTTTACTTTGAACTTGAATTTGACCTTGTGGATCACATGACTTGAAGACGAACTTTGATAAAACTTATACCCGAACATGTTTTCTACAAAGTATCCAAAAAGTTGGGGTATAATATTTTGAGTTACAGGCATTTTAATGATGTAATCATTAACGCATATTGTGTATTAATAAGTACCTTGGAGAGTTGATGGTTTCTGATTGGTCGAGACTCGATCACGTGGCCGGGCATTAACGGTGATAATGACCGGCTTCAAAGAACAAGCGAATAAATGGCCCCTGAACCAGCATTGATCCAGCCCCATGGAAGGCTATGATTGGCCAAATTTACAACAGTCATACGGCAGCTTGTAACAATACAGCACTGCACATGCGCTAAACCACCTTCGCGTGAGACTGACGCGCGCGTACGCAACACAGTTGCTATGGGTGTGCGCGCGTAAGGAAGTTTGAAACGACATCGTACAGTGGCAGTGCACTATACTGAGGATGTTACGACTAAAGCGTAGATCTACGATTTATTTTTTGTAAATACTTCGCCCATCGACATATTTACCTTTCCTAAACCAAGCATCTTTGTAATTCTGGACACAAGGAATGTGTAAACGAAATTTCAGCTTCCTCCATAAGGTAAAAATATGAAAACATTGTTGTAATTTGTTTGGCTACGGCAGCAGAAGTCGTACACGTACACAATGAAGACGTTGCAATTGTCCAGTGCAGCCTTGGCCCGGCTGTGGTGTATATAACAACGCTTATTGAAGAGACAGGGTACCACGCATAAGCTAAAATATGGCCCATGAACATGAACACAAAAAGTCTGGAAATATCGCCGGAAAAAAGTCACAAAATTGGAGCATTTTAAGTGTTTATTTCGTTAAAAAGGTATTTATTAATGGGAATAACAGTGTGAGGATCCAGTCTTCACTGCGTGATAATGACCGGGTTTGGGGTGACCGCTGTTAATGGACCTCGACTTCGTCTCGGTCCATTAACAGCGGTCACCCCCAAACCCGGTCATTATCACGCAGTGAAGACCGGCTCCTCACACTGTTATTCCCTTATTCAAATTTACACATATTGTATACTTTTTGATTTACATGTACAGGTCTTCCAAAAACCACTTTGATGATGACAAGAGCATTACATGTATTTTTGCAATTTTTGTCTAAGACTAAGGAGTTTGTTTTATTAATTGTACAAATACACTAGGTAAATATTTGAACATCTTCAAAAGGTTGGACAAACCGCTCCATTTTTGGAGGTGGGGCCAGGGTCAGTATGGTCAAATATCCCCCAAAATCATAAATGGGTATATTTTTGACGTTTTTCGAAATACATGCAATGTGAGAAATCTTTTACGCGAATTATTACCTATCGGTAATTCCTCTCCTACAATGTATTATGGAGGTATAGTGATAATATCCTGTATCATAATGTTCACAGAATCTAGGAGTACTGATTCTGATTCAAGTGTTACATGTGTTTTCATTGAGTGGGTTGAAATGACCTTTTGCAGTAATTCTATACTTCAACAGCAGTTTCTTTTTCTTTTCAATGTCAAAAGGTTCAAATACCGGTATGTTCTATTTCAGTGTGAAGGCAAGCCATACAATGAAAAATCGGATATCTGGGCTCTGGGATGTATTCTGTACGAAATGGCATGTTTGCAGAAAACATTTGAGGGAACAAATTTGCCTGCATTAGTCAACAAGATTATGAAGGTATGTTGAATCGTTTCAAAATAAGCTTTTAACCTTCCTCCTGAAATGTCATTATTTATTTAGACTTGACTCAATCGCTTTAAGTCGGTATCTTAAAATAGAAGTTAAAAAAATCACAAAAATCACTTAGTTTACATTTTGCGTGTTCCACTTCAGTGCCCTAAAACAATGCGCCCACACTTGTACAACGTGCGTGCATGTACAGAGCAAGCGCATGTGGTGCAAAAGTAAGCAATTCCGACTTGATCAATCTGCCATCAGCACCCCTTCGCATGTACCCCCATGTATTCATCGATACATATGCTATACCATCACTATGCAAGTGTTGTACATACCCAGAGCCGTTTCAAAGCATTTGAATGTACGCGTGCCTGTATCTGTTTCTACACCTCACCTTGGGATGCGTGTGTATTCTCCGCGAAACTTTGGCTGCACGAATATGCAGACAATGCTGATTGCCTTAGGAATTAATATCAAAATGTTTTAAGGAACAAAAACGTTACTCGCCTGAAACACTGTGCTGTGATTGGCTTCTACCCAAATGGATAGAAGCCAATCACAGCAAAAACTAATCTCCAAAGCCTGTGTACAAACGTGGAGCAAACGAGCGACTGACCAAGTCTGGGTTGCTGCATCACTTGAAAATAACATGTACATGTACGTTTTTAACATGATGGGCGGGATTCGACGCATGAGGGTGCGTGTTATACTGTACGGATGTAGGTATGCGCTATGCATGGATCTACTATAGGCACAGACCGAGTGCAACCCAGACTTGGGCCAAGTGTATTATTTATTAAAAAGAAATGTTTGAAATGTAGTTTAAATCATTATAAATCACTATAAGCTAACTTTCTTTTAACATTGTAACATCCTTCACATGTAGCCACTTATTTGTAAGACAAGGCTCATGGGGATCATATTCCACATACAACATGTAAGTTCAAGATAATGAGAAGAGAAAGTTTCATCAAAGTCTACAAATGTGTGAATCACTGCACAACATAAAATTTGTTTGTTTGATTTTGAACAACTTATTTTCCTCTCATCTTGTAAAGTTAAAAATGGATTATTAATTAATAATAATTTTGTATGATTTTTAATCATTGACATCAGCAGACCAGAAGTAATTTACATGTACACAAAGTGTGTTTAACCAAATCTATCAGACCAACATAGGCAGACTTTGTTCAAAAGATTAAATCGGCAAACTGTGAAAGCGGTCATTTTTCTACCATTTATTTTCTTCTTAAAAGACAATGTACGTTTATGTTTATATTTAAATTGAGGCCAAAAAAAAAAAATGTGTGTTTACGGTAACCCGACCTACCTGGAATTTTTGTGGCCAAATTGGCGACCCCAAACTTTTATTGCCATTTTGCAACAAAAATGAGTACACGGACATGGTTAATGAGTCTCAAACATTTCAAAAGGACACGCAGATGCATGAACTGGGATGAAAAAAAAAAAGAAGCCCCACAAAATAAAATACAATATATTTCCCTACCTACCCACCTGGATTTTTTTCGGGCCGTTATCGTAAACACACCATTTATTTTGTTTGGCCTGAGCAACATATACAAAATGTTGATGTGCCTAATCATCTTGCAATGCATTTGTCAATAACACCAACACTCATCAATTTAATGTAGTTTAGTTTCAAGTTTCATTATATTGAAATTGTCAACAGGGTCAGTTTACTCCTGTGAAGGGAAATTACAGCATTGAATTCAAAACACTTGTGCAAGACTTGCTGCAGAGGGAACCAGAGTATCGCCCATCAGCTAATGAACTGGTAGTAGCACGACTTCCTGTCATGATGAGCAAATATGAAGAAAGTGTAACAGATGTTGAAGATGATCAGCAAGCCTCAGAAAGTAATACAAGTAAAAGGCAGAGATCAAGGTTTGTAGGATTTGTACCCTAATTAACCTATTGAAGTTAGTATTGAACTATTCGAAAGTGCATCTGACGGAATATTCAAGTATTCAACTATTTGATTCAGTTTTACAGCTGTAACTGAATGCAGAGCCGGTCAAAAGTTGCAGGCAAAGCCTCCTGCTACAGGAGTCCTTTATGGGTTATAGGAGTGTTTTGCAGTAATTAGGGCCTATCGTATCTGTCAAAAAACAGGGACGGGACCAATGAAATGCTATTGACAAACAAAGTTACCGCCGACAAAAAGTGGCATCTGACAATGCAATGCTGCAACTTTATGATAAAATTAACATCGCAGCTGTGTGTATGTGCATGTTTTTAATTTTTTGTCATAATTATTTGAACCAGCTTGCTATTCAAATTTTGGTTGATGATCAAATTTTGGTGAACTTAAGACATTGTGAGCACTCAGTTAATTTCCAGTGTGTAGACATGACACTCTATGACTACTCTCAGATCTTCATATACATGCAAATGGCCTACAGAAGATGTCGTAACTATCTTTCAACCCATTCTTCTTTTTGCATGCAGGGCCAAGGTGAGATTTCTCAGGATTTATCTGATTTCAGGTTTTTTTGTCAGAATTGTTCCTGGATTTTTAAGGAATCTCCTTTAAAATGTTAAATCTGATGTTTTACCGTGATAGTGTTTGTACCTATTGGGGTCTTTATTGAGCAAAAGAATGAGATTTCAGGGTTTCATGGTGAAGATTGCAATAATATAAAAATGTATGGTAGCACCATGGTGACATGCTTTTGTGAGTTATTGAGGTTCTGAAAAATGTTGCATCCTTCACTTGCTTCACTGCCTCCAGTCCTACTACATACATGTAAGACCCCTTCACCATTGGAATTTCTTCAGTCTCCTGATGACGGGCAGAGCATACTGTCCGAGACTTTGAGTCTCCCTGCTTCTTTTCAGAACCTCACTAGCTCAAAAAGAGATTTGTCACATGGTGCTACTGTAATCTTATGGAACAAAAGAAATTGTTTTATGGTGCCTTTATACAAACATATACCGTAGACCTTTCATTGCTCTGGGCCCTTGGTGACCCTCAAACCCTCTGCCGATTGTTTTGAGGATCTTCTATTTTCTCCCAATTTCATTCATGTGCATGGCAGGAGGCACAGGGTTCATGCAACAGTGCCATTCAAGGGTCTATAATATCTCCTTAATATACAATATAGGGTGCAGCAACTAGTAAATTTATATTTTGTTTTGATCCACAATATAATTTTCTTCAATTGATAAAAAGAAGGAAGGAAAGAAAGAACTTTTCAGTCTTCTCAGCCTCCTACATGGAGTGAACCAATAATTATAATGCTAATTTCGCTTTTTGGGCTTCCAGGTCAGTGTTGTACCGTTTTAGCATTTGCAACTTTGATGTCATTCCAGTGGACCTACCAGCCAAAATCAAGATCATGCAGGTTGGTTATTATTCTTTAGGGTGATCAGGCTCAACCTGATAGCCATATTAAACTACCCTTACATATTGCGTTTAGCCTGAATGAAACTATAGAGTAAAAAAAATATAGCATAACATGTGTAATGATGTCTTCTTAAATTTTTAGAATGGAAAACATCCTGTGGATGGAAAATTGTGTCCAATGTCCTTGTTCAGTCTGATTATGTAGTATAAGAAATAACCACAAAACTGGCTCCACTGAGTTTCACAAGGAAGCAGCTCACAACTTATTAGGACAGTGGTCTTTGGCCAAGACCTTTCATTATAGGGACTTGATTCTTTAAATGTAGAAACTCTCTGCCCAGATTAATTGTGCTCAGTTTTTTTGGTTTGATTTCAACTGTTTAGACTGTTACTTTGAATACATGTAGCAGTATGCTGAACAAGGTCTGTATTTTCCAATACTGGGAAATGTCCATCCATGAGCTTGTAAAGGAGTTGGAGGTGAAGAGTTATGTGTATGTTATACTACACACATGTACCTCAATCTGCAGATAAAAGGTCGTCTTTACTTCTAAAATAGTAATAATAAGTTATCTGGGTCCAACTTGTTGAAAGAGTAGTTGTGAGGAATTGTGATCATTTATGAAGAATTTTCAACAAAATTTTTACATGTTTGTCACTGCAGAATGTGTTGGTTAAAAAAAAAATTCAATCCAGCGATTCCCATTTACCGTTAACAATATTAGGAAATACTATGTTCTTTGACTTTTGTAGAAACCATGTGCCTGGAATAATGTGCCTGGATGATTATGATTGTTTTAACTGGGGGCTGCAAATATGCAAGGAAATCTAAATGTGGAAAGAAAGCGCTCTCCTGATGCTTACTTCATAGAAACACAATGATACTTGAAACAATAAATCCGAAATAGAACATTTAATATTTTGTGTATTAAAAAAACTCAAAAAGTTCACATCCTCAAGAGTGCTCTACCCTGTAGGTTCTCACTTTTGGGCCATTTTATAAAGCTTATGACATTAGGTCCACGTGGGTCCTTTTCATGACAAATTCCAATTCAAGCAACAAAATATAGAAAATTGAATTTACTATTAAATTTCAATCATTCTGTGGTAATGAAACACACTCGGTTCCATCCGAGGTGGCAAAATCTAGTTTTTGTTTAATTGCTATACACTTGTACTTATTATTTTGACATGATTGGTAGTTTATTATTAGTTACAGGCTGATGTGCCCGATCATGAGTGGGTAGGACGTATTAGGGTTGGGGTATGAAATGTGGGGAGCAGTAATGTCAAGGGGTAAATTTGTTGAAGATACAGTAACCCCTATGGAAATGCAAGTGCAAGAGACACAAAATAAAACAAATATATGCTCCAATAGGCTAACAGAAACTGGTAGGTTATCTTGTTACAGTCAGATTGGAATGTTTTGTTTCAGAGTGTCATCTTTGAGAAAATTGGTGTTGGAAGAGTAACTGCATTAAATATGAAATCCTAAGAAATGAAATGTGGTCATGAAAAGTACCTCAGGAGGTTTGTTAGAGAGTTAAAGAAGGCCCACACTCCCCCCCCCCCCCAAAAAAAGAAGAAGAAGACGAAGAAGAAGAAATACTACACTCAACCAAAATAGAAAGAAACCCCTTCATACTTTTTTGACTCAAAAACTACTGGGCACATCTTGCTCAAATTACGACGGATCAGTACAGAAATTCCTTAGCAATCCAGCCATACTCTTCGTTTGGCCCAAAACAGTGATAATGTGTACAACATTATGCAATTTATGACAAATGCTACCAAAAAAGTGTCACTTTTGTATACATGCAAGGTGAGTGTAAACCACAACTTGCTCGTATACAAAAGCAAAGTCTGAATTGAGTTTATAAAGTAACGGACTCATCAACAAACTTTAGTTCAAGTTCTTTCTTGAGAAAGTTGAGGGAAAAGTCCAAGACAATTGCACAATTCCAGTCAACCAAACAGCTGTACTATGTACGGGGTGATCATCTTTTTCCTCCAACAACCGCCACTGAATGTTATTACCTCCACCAAGGAGGTTATGTTTTCATCATGTTGGTTGGTTTGTCTGTTAACAAGATAACTCAAAAAGATATGGACAGATTCGCAGGCAAAATTTTGTAGGGGTGGTCCTTAATAGTACAAGTAGAAATTCATTAGATTTTGGAAGTGATCTAGGTCTGGATCCAGGATTTTTTTAAAGGATTCTGCACCATTTATGCGAGTATTTCTCTTGGGTTTACTAACAAGCATGTCAATAGGTGGTGCCCTCCAACACTAGAAGTCATCACGCCTTGGTTGTTTCCCATCCAGGTGTTTCTCATGTCCCACCGAAGGGTCCCACATTTGCACAATATGGCGGGAATTTTTAACCTTGGCAGAGGTTTGCGCTCTCTATGTGCTTCCTGGTTATTTATGCACTCTTCGCTATCCCTACCCAAATTAGTTCATCGGTAGCAAATTTTAAAGCACTGCATTCCTCTTCAGTAATACAACCATAGTTCCAAGATAGCTGCATGATAGAACTAAATGATCTGCGACCTCCTAAAATAACTTGGTATGCATATTGCCCATTCATGGCTGTTTGTCGTACGACTCAATTGTACCACCAATAAGTATTGCACCGAAACACAACCCCTCTGAAATTAGCGGTGACCACGTGCTGCGAGGACAAACTGAAAGTGCGTAGCCGTTAAGTCTGAGGGCAGACACGCAATTTTTATAATAGCCACTCGACAGCCACTGGAAGAATAAAATGCATTCGAAAAAAAAATTGCTTCTCGCATTTTTGCTCAGTGGGTGAAAGCGACAATGACCCAAAGGTCTTCAACCTGCCCACGACCGATTCCACATGTTCCCGCATTTTTCAGTGCGGATTTGGTGGCGGGGGAGCCGATGACCTGGGAGCCTTTGTCGAACAAACATTTATGAAAACGTTTGTCTTAAAGATTTAGATAGATCACCTCCTGAATGATCAGACCCCCAGCAGGCAGCCATTTTTTTCTGCAGGCTAGTTAAGTCATTTACCTTTAATAATGCAGATGCGTGGAAGATACCATTAACCAACTTCAGTCCATTTTAAAACTACAACATTCTAGTAGTGAATAATTCAGTAGTATAACCACTAATATGTTGTTATGTTCTACAGTTTCCGGATTAAACCAATATACAGACTGCAGACAAATAGCTTTTATCACTGCAAATCGTGTTCATTTTCACTGTGTCACATCGCACGCAAATTACAACATGTCAGCCTCTACACGAGTTAACCATTGAACTTACTAGACTAATTGCCTGTCACATGTAAACACGACATCCCTCCTTTTTTTTAGAAGAGACCGTAACTTTTCGTGAACAGTACAATGGCAAATAAAAGCAAGTTAAATCAAACTCCGGCTGTAACACTCTAAAGCTATGCTGATTTAGATGAACTTTCCCTACTTTAATGCAGTTAGAATTGTCATCATACTTTTGTCTAACCTTCTACATATTCATGCATATCAGGCAAACTGTTTACTACAAATAATGCAAATTTTGGAACCAGATATTGGCGACTCCAGAATATCACTCCTTGCCAAGTAAAATGACCAAATTCAAACTTGTAACTCAACAGGCTCTAGATAATAAGCAAATAATGCAATTGGTAATGATAACACTAGGATAATGCTTCTACTTGATAAACTTTAGATAACACATGCATTGGATAGTAATGCTTTAAACTTTAAAGTGCAACTGCACTCAGATCACAGTTCAGTCTAGTCCGCTCAGTTCAAGACATAGTCTTTATATTTCGGATGCATGCCATATTGTCTCTTGGGTCTACTGGCACATGGACTGGACTGTTCATTCGCTACTGGTGGAGTATCTTTTGAACTCCTTTTTGGTGAAACCGAAGCTTAGTCTGTGATGGTTGGTACCACCACTGTCCACAGTGGGAGGTTCAATGGCAGTGTCTGTCCCTGGCATGTCACGTTTTGTATAAACTTTCGCACATGACTTGTATTTCGTGAATACTGAACTCCTTTTGGTGATGCGACTACGACACTGTTGCCAGTTTTGTTCACAACAGTGAAAGGTTCGGGATTGAAGGGGGTAAAAAACTTGTTTTATTTTTCCTGCCTCACAAGGACTTCATCACCAACCTGTACGTCAGAACACTTGGCACTCCGACGAGCATCCGCGTACAGTTTAGCTTGTTCTTTGCTCTCCACGTCTCAATCACGGACTTCCAGGTCGGTGCGACCACCTGCCTGGAACACTGGCAGTTTTCCGCTGATTTTTCGATTGAACAACAACTCTGCAGGAGTCTTCCGTGTGGCAGGGTGCTCAGATGCGCGATATTTTGCCACATACTTTCGAAGTTCCTTCTGCCAGTTCTGACCTGCGGCTTGTGCGATATAAATTCACTTCATGATCGAATCATTTTGGCGTTCCACCTCGCCTTTTGCTTGAGCCCACTCAGCCATTACTTTCACATGAGCTATCCCGTTTTCCTCACAAAAGTTGCAAAACTCCTGGGAGCGGAATTGGGGACTATTGTCGGACTTGTGTGTCAGTAGGAGGCCATGACGGCTGGAAGCCTCCTCGAAGACGTCAAGTACACGGTGGTGGAACCCAGTATCCTGTACTCGTAGTATCTGCTTTAGTAGTCGACCAACACCAGGATAGAATGTCCTGATGGGAGTGGTCCTAAGAGATCGGTTGCTAAGTCCTGCCACGGACCGTCGGGGAGCACGGTTGGTCTTAACGGCTCTGGAGGGTCAGGTCGTGCTAAGGTTTGGCACCCACGGCACGATCTGCAGAATTTCTCTGCCGCCTTTTCCATGGCTGGCCACCACACTTAAGTACGAAGGTTTTGCCAACAATACCAAGGTGACCTTCGTGTGCGAGAGCTAATGCCCGTTGTCTCAGTTTCTGCAGTAGGACGATGCGTTCAACGTAGGACCAGTTGTCCGCCTTATAGGTTTTTGAATCCAGTTTGGATTG